ATTAGTTAATCTCTGACCCTTCATAAATTAGACTTGATGACGTCCCTTGATTCAGGCAAAGGAAATGCACAAGTCACTGTGAAAGGGATGCACGGAAGTCAAATGCACTTGGAGATGTGTCTATTCATCACACGGATTCCATGAAGATCTGGGAGAAATGGGATAACTCTGGGAAAAATGAAAAAACAAACAAACCCCAAAACAAAACAAGATGGCCACGAAGTTACGAGAACGGTGGTCGAACGTTTCAAATCCGCGGGCTTGACCATGTTTCCTGTCAGAGGAACTAAAATCCAGACCACGGGAAACATCAGTGCCGCTCTTCCTAGGAAATGTTTCTCTGGGGTATTTTCCTTAGAAGAGAGGATCTTTTATGGTTTTTATGGTACAAATCCTGGAGAAGGGTGGACACAGCAGAGCAAACAGGAAACAGGGCTCAGCTGAACAGGAAGGCTCAGGGAAGAAACGCCAGCCTCTGGAAGCGGGCTCGCGCAGAAGATGCTGAAACAGAGCCTGCAAAAGCAATGATAATAGAAGAGCTGGCACGGATGCTGGCCGGTGGGGTGCGGAGTGCCAGCGCCCCACCGGGTGCTGGCGGGCGCCTGGGCTTTAACTTTTCATGCAAATGCCCCCTAAAAAATATGCCCCCACCCAGACCCTCCATTGCATGCTTTTAAAACAAGTCGAGAATCCAGTTGACAGAAATTTACCAGAAGCTACTCAGCCTAGAATAGCCGAAGAATTTTGAGTTCTGGGACATTTGAGACACACACAAAGAATTTGGACAAGCCTTGAACAGAAAGAGGATAATTTTTTCTTTTAAAGATTTTATTTATTTATTTTTAGAGAGGGAAGGGAGGGAGAAAGAGAGAGAGAGAGAGACATCAATGTGCGGTTACTGGGGCCCATGGCCTGCAACCCAGGCATGTACCCTGACTGGGAATGGAACCTGGGACACTTTGGTTCGCAGCCCGCGCTCAATCCACTGAGCTATGCCAGCCAGGGCATAAAGAGGATAATTTTTAAAAATATTTATCTCTTGGGCTACATATATTTTTCAGAGTGGAGGGCTTTGTTGGGAACATATTCTAAGGCACACTGACCTCTCTGTAGTCCCGGATCTGAGAGGTGACCGGGCTGGGGGAATGGCCCAGGCCCACTGTCGTGGGACCAGGGGTTGGACCTCCCCCGTGGGAGACTTCAGAGCAGGCTGAGAAAAATGCCGGAGCCCCACTCGGCTGATATGCTGACCCGGGACGTTAGGAGGCTTTCGGAATTGTGCTGTGGCTGCTGCGTGGCCAGGAACCTGAAGAACCTCTGAGAGTCCTGAGCCGGGTGATGGGGACGGGCATCCATAGCCATGTGACCCAGGGCTCACCTGGGTCACCTTCACTGCAGGGTCCAGTGGCAGGGTGGCAGTGGGGAGGGGAACTGGTGGGGGGTTGGCCAAGGGGCAGGGAGGTCACATGGGAATACTGGCCTATTCCGCTCTAACCACACCCCCTTCCCAAACATTCAAACATTTCCTTTGAGCTCCCCTGCTGTCCGGCCCATCTCACCTGGCTCATTGCCCTCAACAGAGGCTGTAAATCACCTTGAGGTAAAAAAAAAGGGAGGGAAGACCAGTCTCCTACAGCGCCTGCTTCCTGTATTTGGTGGGTGTCCTGGGGTCCTCTGGATATTCATCAGTTTATTGCCCGTTCTCCTCCATCTTCTCAGCGGAAAGTGGTGGAAGTTTGTAGGACTAAGCCACAGGGCTACCGAGAGGAGTCAAGGGGACAGCCTGGTTCTACCTGCCCTGTCATGTTTCTGAAATGGGGCTGAATCTGCCCCGAGGACAGAGCAGAGCCACGGGGGGCTCGTGGGTCTGAGCACACCCGATTCTGCTGCAGAGGCCTGAGACCCATCGGCCGAGGGTGACCCTTCCCGCCCCGTCCCATCAGGGCCCCACGGAAAAGGGCAGCTACAGCACTTCCTGTGCTGCACGGGGAGGATCGGAAGAGCACTCACTGGTCACTTACCCTGTTCTCTTCTGGGGTAAGATGCCCCCCTTTTAGCCCTGGCTGGCGTAGCTCAGTGGATTGAGCGCGGGCTGGGAACCAAAGTGTCCCAGGTTCGATTCCCAGCCAGGGTACATGCCTGGGTTGCAGGCCATGAGCCCCAGCAACCGCACATTGATGTGTCTCTCTCTCTCTCTCTCTCTCTCTCTCTCTCTCCCCCCCCCCTTCCCTCTCTAAAAATAAATAAATAAAATCTTTAAAAAAATCTTTAAAAAAAAAAGATGCCCCCCTTTCTTGAGTAAGCACCGAGGTTACCAAGCTGTTTGCTATCATTGTCACTTTCACCTAGTTTCTTTCAAATGGAGTATTAATGAACACTTCTCCTGAAAAAGCACTGCCCTCTGGCAACTTTCTCTGCAGAGGTTCAGCCTACTGGTAAGGGTCCCCTGAGGTCACGGTTGGGGCCTGGGGAAGACAGAAACCGGGCCTGGGAGATAACAGCCGGTGTACGGGGCTTCCCCCAGCCCTTGGACAAGCCTTGTCCAAGGCTTGGAACAGCAGCCGCGTCCCGTCCCCGGGTGGAAACAAGAGGTTATTGTAGGGCACAGAGCAGCACCTCTGCTGGGCTGCACCCAAGTGATGACGGCGACTCTGAAGGTGCACCTTTACCCAAAGGGAAGCCTTACTATCAGCAAGCCCAGGGCCACCATAGACACGAGGGGATACGTTCAGGAAATTCTGACGGACGTGGAGGTGAAGAACCAGGTTCACGGCGGCAGAGTTTTCTGGCTGTTCCTCTTTTGCAAAGAGCTGTGCGTGCGTGAAGCACCTGGATAAAGCCCAGTGGTGGGGGGGGGGGCACTGAAAAGTGAAGAGGTGTTTCCTCCTCTTAACAAGTGAACTCTCTTGCTGAGTGACTGACCTCACATCCCCCGAGGGCACTGAGGCTGTGTGTCACTGGTGTCTGCTGACACCGGGAAGTCCGTCAGCTCCTGGTGCCCCGTCTCTGAGCTCTGAGCCGCGGGCAGAAAGGCCCTTGGGGGCAGTGGGCATGGAACTAAGGGCACAGGCATGTGTGACAGAGGGAAGTTCAAAGGCAGAGCACAGCGTGGCTGTTGACTGAGTTTTTAGAGGAAAGTTTTATCACAGCTTTGCAAGATGCACTCTTCTTCATCCGTAATGATCCAAAAAGCCGATGTGTCCCGAAAGGACAGCTTAGAAACTTCGAGGTGGAGCTGGGGGTGCAGGGGGAGGGCATGTGCGGAGGCAGAGCATAGGGGGCTGGTGCTGGGCCGAGCCCGGCCTGGGAGTTACTTGTTTCTCCAGATTCTGAACTGGGAAGGCACAGACCTAGTATATATATTTTTATCCTCAACTGAGGACCTGCATGTTGATTTTACAGAGAGGGGAAGGAAGGGAGAGAGGGAGAGAGACATTGATCAGTAGCCCTGACTGGGAATCGACACTGCAACCCAGGCATGTGCCCTGACCAGGAACCCAACCCACGACTTGTGGTTTATGGGACTACGCCCAGCCCACTGAGCCACACTGGTCAGGGCCACACCTAATTTTTAACAGAAGTGATCAAGGCTTCCTATTTGATCGAGAAAACAGGATGACTATTATGAGGATTCTTGGAAATAATCATTTCCCACTTATATATAGGAACCATGTGAAAGGAACCATAATACACGTTGGACATTAACTAGTATCACTTAAAAGCACTGTTAGGGAGCTACTGTTACTGTAAACCTGTCTTACAGATGGCGAAACTGAACTTCAACCCATGGCATTGGACTCCTAAGCCCGTTGCCATAACAAAAGTGCGCCCCTTTGAATGGCTGAGCTCAACTATTTGCTTGGGAAGGTGTACTGGGCGCACCTCTCCTGGATTTGTGGCTGTAACTTGTGTCTCAAGTCTCTTCTGCTACCAGCTCCTTGGACAGGGATGTTCCCTGTTGGACTGCCTGTTACCCCAGGGTGATCTAGTTCCCAGGACTGGGCTTGTGCCTGACTGCTGTCTTCAGGGGACCCCACCCTGTGGAGCAGAGTTGTGCTGAGTCCCCTCCTGAACAGGCCGGGCTGACACCTCACTGGGAGTCTAATTCATCTCGGAGAACCAAGACGTGCCTAATTGTCTCAAAATCATCAGTACTGTCTATTGTCCTGGGACTCTCTCCAATGTTGGTCCCTCCTCCATGAGCCAGCCCGGGTCTCAGGGCCCATTCTGCCCTATCTAGCAGAGGGGCTGGAGTTGGAGCTGTGGCATTTATACTAATGGCACCCTTGGTGTAAACATCTCACTACCATGTGTCTTCTCTGTAGCTACACCTGGTGAGATGCAAGTTATTTGATTATAAATGACTTTCTTCATATAATTATATATATGGCATTTATATATATGTGGCTGTACATTAGGGATTGATGTATATAGTACATATACTTATTAATGATGTGTATAAATAAGTTTCTTTAACTGTGACTTTCATTTCAGAATAATAAAAGGATGCTAAGAAATACTTGTGATGAAAACCAGGCCACGGTCAGGCTGAGACCCCTGGAGTGGTGAGAAGAGTAAAGAAAGCTTTTAGACAGACGTCAGTACGTCAGTATAGGTTCTGGTTCAAGGTCAGAAGTGTGAGGGGGTCAAATTACTTCGAGTCTGAGCCTCAACTTCTTTATCTTCAAAAAGGAGATACTAGCTATAGCTTAATTATAACCTGAATTGTACTGAATTCAGGACCGTTAATGACTATTCAGTGTTAGTATATGTACAGCTCTTCTGCCCTACATGCAGCAAACATGTACAGTGCTTCTGTTCCACACATAGAACACTGTTAGCTATTGTGTCCTCATTATTAACATGAGCATGAGTAATACACCTCATAAGGTTACAAATATTAAGCAAGATGCTATTCCAAGTACCTAGTTAACAAACATCCAGTAAGTATAGTGCACTGAATCCTAACTTCAGAAAAAAAAATAATAGCAAAGTAGAAATTAAACATTCAAAACAATTTGGTTATTTTATTTCCCTCAATTCATGTCCCTCTGTGGACATTAACTAGGGCACTTAAAAGTCATTTCAGTGAGGAATCTTTTCAGTCCTTCGTCAATGACTTCAAGTGTTCTAGTCTCAAACACATTCCTTTCTTCTACAAACTTCTGAAAGAGATGGACACCTCCACCCACACCGAAATAATGCGCTTTGCTGGCCAGAAGCACCCGCCCATTTTTATGTAACAGCCTGAGGAGCGTTTGGTGCAAAGAACCGTAGTAATCCGGATTGTAAATGGTTTCTGAGGTGAGAATGAGATCGTATCTTTCAAAGACGTTTCCACTGGTCAGTACCAGCTCACAGAACTCAGACCACTCTCCAGAGAAGAAGCGGCACTTACTTTGTGCTACTTTTGATCTCCTGCACCTTTTCACCTCTGGTTGGTCTCCATCACTTTCTTCACCCTCCAGAGCGGAGTTAGCTGCCGCATTAGGTATGGTGACTTCCTCGATCACCATACTGTTATAATCTTGAAAATGAACTTCTCTGGCCCCTCCCTTGAGGGCAGTTATACCCAGCAACCCTGACCCACAGCCCAGATCCAACACTTTTTTCCCCGAAAACTTCACTTGGGCCTTTGTGAAATAAGCCAGGAGGTCAAAGGTACATTCCCAGATTTTTAAGCCTCCTTCGTAAACACCAGTGATCAGATCGGAGTGAGAAGAAAAGCTTTTTGAAACGATGTTTTCCCCTGGGAACTTCTTCTCTTTCAACAAGACGGTTTTCACCACCGACATGCTACCCTGCTGGAGACCTGGTAACGTTTCTAGGACTTTGTTTCCTATCACTTCCTTCGCCTCTGCAGGCACGGCATGCTCCTTGGCAAGTCTTAAGCAAGGCTGTTCTTCATGGGGCTCCAAGTTACCTGAGCTGTTGGCTGCGTCGAGGGAGCTGCCTGGGTCCTGAGAGGGAGCTGCATTTCCCGCTGGCTCAGGGGTCCCCAAGGGATCCCGAGGGCAGTCACACTGTTCTCTAGAACAGCCTGTGTCCCTATGTTTGCCTTTCTGACTTTCTGAGCCTGAAGCCTCTTTTGAAGAATGTGGGGTCAAAGCTCCATCTCCAAGGGCTGTGGATTCATTTTCCAGGTGGTCTTCTATAGTGAAATTAAACTGGAAAGTCATCCTCGCGCAACCCTTCAATTCGGAGGAAGACCCCTCAGCTCGCGCACAGAAGTGAAGACGGGAACACAGACCTGCCTCAGTTCTTCACGCAGTTTCATTCGGGTCCGTTTCTCTTGAGCTGCTTATACACAGTTACAAATACTTAGAGAAGTTTCCAAATGACTTCTTAGAGGTCTCTGCTCTTTCACTTGAACTCTGGAGAAAGAAAGAAGAAATACAATTGTTATTAAAAAGCAAAACGACATATTCTCTTATAATATTAAACAGTAGCCCCCGCCCCCCACTCAGCAGCTTTTTCTATAAAAATCTGCGAGGGAGAAAAAAAGTCTCGGAAGCACACCCACCCCTCATGGGTCGAAAGCTGGAGAAGAGAATGAAGAGTAAAGACAAATAAAAGAACAAGGGCAGCAACAACAACTAGAAATAAAAAAGGAAAGTCCGAAATTTTCGGGCAGGAAGTGACAAGCCTAGCTACTTGGCGTCTGTCACCTGCCAGGACGCTGCCCAAACACAGCACGTGCAAAACTCCAGGTGAGTAAACTCCAGCGTCACCGCAGTCTGCTCCTGTTTCCGGTAACAGGGGTCCACGAGCTTATCTAGGTACATGGGTAGCCCTGTAAAAACTTGCATGGGTCTGCTTTGGTGCAAGTTCACCCAACGGACCTCACTGCACTTAGGGGAGACGAGCAGCCCCAAGTGGATGGGACTGGGGTGCTTTTGGAGTAATCGGTAAGAGTCAGTTTGGTGGCAGAACAAACACAAACTAAGGGCTGTGAACGTTTGGAAGAGGCCCGCGAGAGTGGAAGCAACTTTACTGAGATTCTTCTCTGTATCTACGGTGCTAGACCCGCTTCAAACCGTACAGTTCTGGCAGGTGGAGTCTTTATTCCCAATACACAAGAGGTACAAGGCAGGGTCCCACGGCTAAGTGGGTAGGAACGTGCCCTTTTGTACCCGCTGCAGGTCCCGGGCACACCCACCCTAGATGTGCAATCTCAAAGCCCCCTGGGACCAGGGGTGGCAACTGGGGACGTTCGGCCCTCACCTCCCTAAAGCGCCTCGAGGTAACGGTGACAGCGATCCAGATCTCGGGACGCACGCAGCGGGCCTGTTTCCAGCTCCCGGCGCGGGGAAACCCGGCAGCGGGCGGGACGCGCCGCGATGAGAGAGCGCACCAGCGAGTCGAGTCCTCCGCGGGCCAGAGGTGCCCATTTTTTCCCCCCCAGCAGCGTAGGGCCTAGGCTCCACAAAGACGGCAGCCCGCTCCGTCTCTATGGTTCTGGCGCCGACGGGGAGCTCGCAAGGCCTGCCGGGACGGCAGCGCTTCCGTTCTCGGCGGTGGCGGGAGTGTTTGGAAGTTGGCTCCCGGGCGAGAGCATGTCTCAGGAGCGCGCCGCGCCGGCGAGCGACGTGCCCCTGGAGGAATTCAGCAGCTGGCCGGAGGAGCTGTGCCGCCGGGAACTGCCGACGGTCCTGCCCCGGCTCCTCATATCCTTGGCTGTCGCTGGCGCCTAGACACGGGCGTACGGCCGGTGTCGCCCCTCTCCCCTCAGCTCGGTCACACCCGCCGCCGGGTCGCGTTGTGTTCCCGCGGCCTGAACCCTCTCGGCTCGCTGTTGGCGAGCGAGTTGGAGCGGCGAGGGGACGGAGGGCGAGCGGGGGCCGCTCCTGGCGGCGGGACTGGGAGGGCTCGCGCGGGCGTCCTGCCCCACGCTCGCGGCGGTGAAAGGGGCGTCTTCGCGCGTCCCTCTGCCTTTTTTCTGTACTCGCCACGTGCAATTAAGTATAAATAACTTTTGCATGGGAGAGCGGGGGAGGCAAGGACTCGAACCTGAGCTGTCAGGCGAACCCTGGGTGTCAGCTGGGTGGGGTAGAGAGACGCCCTGAGCTCTTGGGTGCGAGGCGGCTGGTGGATGTGAGCCACACCTCCGGTACCGTGGGACGCAGTTCTGCCGGGGTGCCCAGTGTGTACACGATGTTAAAATGTCCTTCCCCTTACCTTTTCCCACCTCTTTTTTTTTTTTTTTTTGTTAATTGCTGGTTTGGAGTTGCTAACTATTGTTAATTGGTTCCATCTGCTGGGTTTGAGTGGCTAATGCCTCAGTAGTCCAGGTGCAGACCATTCTTTCGTAGTATCGAGCCTTTGTGATTGTAAATGCCTGGAGTCCTAGTCTTTCATGTTAAAAGGTAATTTTTTTATGCCTTTGCGCTCACCTTCGACCTAAAACTATACTTAAAGGAAAAAAAATGACCTTCTCTTGAGGGACTGTCAACACTGTACAACGAATTTTTACCGTTCGAGCCAAATACAAATGTGACCCTGTGTGGACGTCACTGGGCATTAGCACAGTCCCGCGAGCTACGGAAGCCCTTGGTTAGTCCTGTAGATGTGGAATCGCCATCCTCGTGCATTTTGACTTCGGAAACGAAATAGCTGCCCTCCTCAAAAACATTTCCTCGGTCCCGAACGTGTTAGTAGGGCGCAGGGTGGCAGGCTTTTGAGTAACAAAGATCAGGGGCGGGCTCCTTCTCTGCGGGGGACTTCAGTAATCGAAAGTCCGTGTTCCCGCCTGGTTTCACACCTCACGTTAAACATTCAGAAGCACCCAAACCTGTGCTTCCCCCAGTTTTCTTTATTGAAACAGAGCTGGTTCCCCAAGAACATAATTTTGTTCCAAGTCGTTTCGTTGTAAAACAGGAACCTAACTCTTGTTTATATCAACTGGCCGGTGGAAAAACCGGTTTTCTTGTGCACTGAGCTGCTTTAAGTCTTAGAACCTGTGGACAGCGTTAAGTGAGGACTTACATGTGTAAATGGTTTCACAAACCTTGAACCCTCACCTGCAGTCAGCAAGTTCTGTTGTCTCTGGTTTCAAGCCGTATCTTGACTCCATCCCCCCACTTCTATCCCCCCATTCCCACAACTCTTCCAAACCCCATAGTTTCCCCATGTCCCCTTATATGGGGAGGGCCCCCCCAAAACCCAGCATCATCTTCTGGAGGGTGGGCTCCTTGTAGCACAGGCTTCCCCCGCTGGGTGAGTGTTCTAGGAGCCCATCTGTGTCAGTGCACCGGCTGGTGTTGTTGTGAGAGGTTGTGTTTGGCTCCAGTGAATTTTTTATGAAGACTCAGTGTGTTTGCAAACTGCATGATGGGTGATTTAAGAGTGCACCTGCCCACACCTGACTGAGTGTTCAGCAGTTTTTGACCAAAAACGGCATGACCTCTGCCCCACCCTTCCTATTCACCCAATCTCGCCCCAAGCAACTGAATGAAAAAGTTTTCCAAGGGAAACGTCTTGCCCATATATGTGGAAGAGGTGAAACAAAAAACAGCAGAAGCACTAAAAGGCGTTGAAATTGACAAGTTCAAAACTATTTTGAACAGTGGGAAAAACTTCTCAGTAGGTGTATTGCATCAAATGGAGAGTACTTTGGAGGTGACTGAAGTTTCACATATAAGAATAAACATACAATTTTTTATAGGTAAAGTCGGGGAGGTTTTTTGAGTCCCCCCTGGTAATCCATTTTCCAAAAGTAGTCCAGAGTGAAGGACAGATGATGTCATTTCCTTTTTAAATCCTCCCACCCCCCCAGTGGCTTCCTAACAAATTGGAAATAAAACCCGAACTTGCCTTCACGAACTTGCCTTCACCGTCCCCTGTGATCCAAGCCTCACCCTTCCCCTGGCCTCGCTTGCTGCCTTCCATCCATGTCTTCGGCTGCTGACCCCTCAGCCTGGGGTGTCCCCCAGCCTTTTGCACAGCTCACTCGGGAGTCCTGGCTCGGTGTCGCCCCGCTTGGCCCTTCTTGGAGCCCTCAGCCTTAGTGGAGCCCTCGGCCTTAGTTCGCTCCCCTGCACCCAGCCGGCGGCACTTTTACCACTTTGTCCCGTGCAGTTGAGGACTTCCTCGTTGACAGAAGTGCTCCTGCACGTCCTGTTGCTGCCCCCCTTCCCTCCCCGCACTGTGAGGGTCCCCAAGGCAGGAGCGGTGCTTTCCCTGCGCCATGCCCGCACCCAGGACGGGCACCCAGAATGGGGCTGGCACGTGCCGGTCACCTAGTGAGGGGCTCAAAATACTGTGTTTTTTAAATGCCCGGAAGTCTCATTAGACGATACTTCTTTTCAACATAATTTTCAACAAATTTGCAATAAAGTTTGCAAATTTAAATCCACCGTTGCATCACTGAAACATAATCATTTTCACGTTTTGCATTTTACATATAATTTTCCAGTCTTTAGCTACATGTCTTCATAATTATAATGCATGTTTAATTTTTTTAAAGAATTTATTTATTTATTTTTAGAGAGGAAGGGAGGGAGAAAGAGAGAAACATCAATGTGCGGTTGCTGGGGGCTGTGGCCTGCAACCCAGGCATGTGCCCTGACTGGGAATCGAACCTGCGACATTCATGTTTAATTTTTGAAGAGGCTAGAATTTTTTGGTCTTTGCTGAAAATTTTTTCTTAAGGCAAATTATGCCCTACCAGACTTAAATATGTTAATGCCTGTACCTCATTATGAATGCTGCTGCATAAATATACATGCACCGTTGAGATTTCGGAAGAAAAATCAGCCCTGGCCGGGTGGCTCAGTCAGTGGGAGCATCGTCCCGTGTGCCAACAGGTCGCAGCTTCAGTCCCCGGTCGGGGCACAGGACCTGGGTTGCGGGTTGGATCCTGGGTTGAGGTACATAAGGGGGCAGCCAATTGATGTTTCTGTCAGATCAGTGAACATATCCTAGGGTGAGAATATAAAAGTCAACTTTATTAGTGTGATGGGGTTTGGGGATATTCACTTTTCTCATTGACACACTCTTTAATGGTTTTCATATTGTTTTTACATTGTAACATTTCTAACAATTCTTGACGGTGCGCAAGTATGTGTTTTATAATGTCATCTCTGTTAGGAGAATTCACTATGACTTTTTTTGTGAGCTCTCATGCGCGGGAGCATTTCAGTCTGACGGGGCTGGCGGGGAGAGGTGTGCAGACGGTGTGACAGGAAGGTGGAGAGTGGCGAGTGGCCCGAGACAGGCACAGATGCAGTGCGGCAGAGATGCCGACGGGGCAGAGACGCTTCCCTGTGTGAGAGGCCAGAAATCCGTGGCTTATTGTAGCCCCGTTTGTCACCTGTCAAAAGACATTTCATGGCTACACGTAGCTTGAAAAGGCAATTTTGAAAATATTTCTGTAAAATATTTTTGTAATATTGGTTGTTTACCTAATTAGCATTGATTTTATAACAGCAAAATTATGCCAGTAATTTGAGTCTGATTCCAGTCTCTTATGGATCATAGCTTAAACTGGCAGAATGGTCCTTCTAAATTCTCAGTGGTGCGCCTCCTGTTACTGTGGTTTTCCTTAATCATTTTACTCCCTGTGTCAGCATTCTGACGGCTGGGTTGAGCACATTCGTGAGTATAACTGTCTCAATCGCCTGATTTATCTCGATGTTGTTGAGATCTGAGTCGTACTTCCCTCCGTCCAGTTTTGTGTTCCCTGCACCTTAAATCTTTTCCTGTGGCGGTGGCGTTGCAGCCTCTCTAACCCTCAGCTACTGAGAATGCCCACACTCCTCTAATTACAGGGTAGTGCTCAGTTTTAAATTCCATTTTCTGGAGGTAGCAGATGTGTTCTGTTTGATAATGCGTGTAAGCACAGTGTCCACTTTAAATGTCAGTTGTTAAACCATGGTTAGACCTCTATGAGACAGTTTTGCAGTCGACTGACTGCTTCCAGCCTCTCTCGTGTTAAGTAGCACTTAGAAAATAGTTTCTAGGTTGCAGAGAGCTGGTTATTTAGGTGATGACACATTCGTCATTTGGAACACGTTGACCTTCTCATCTTCATCTGTCTTCGTTGCTCTTACCTGATACGATTTACTTAGCCAGGAGTAGAGAGCAAAGGCTGGACTTGGAGGTCACATTTATTCTGAGCTAGAATGGCTGTGGAATGTTTGTTTATGATTTTGAATCTGTGTTGCCTGTTGGGGTCTGATTTTTTATGCAACATAAGTATTTTTTATCCCGAGTATGCATTATACATATTCCTTATAGGAAATTTGAAACAGAAAAACAGAAGATGACAAAAGACCCTTGGGTCTGAGATGGTTAAGGTTTTCACGTGCAGCGTTCTCTCTAGTATGGGGTGTTCCTGCGCATGCCTGTCACACTGTCTGGTACTCCTCGTGTGCACATCTTTACCTCTGTTAAAATTGGGGTGCTATTTTGGGGCCTTTTTGTTTAATTTTAAAATACTATAAACATTTTCCATGGTTTTAAATAACCACTGGGAATCGTTTAGCTGATCACAGACCCTGTTCAGTACAGGCACCCATGTCCATTAAGTGGCCCTTGGTTGCTGGACGTAGTTTCCCTTTTTTTGCTATTATTTCAGTTAAGTAATAGTTCCTCTGCATAGATTATGGCTTTTGGAGCTGTGCAGTGCTTTCTGTTGGTGGGGCTTACGTAGTCTCACGTTTGCGAAGAACAGTGATCGCTGTTGGCTCACGTGACTGAATGTTCCCACAGAGTGTGTTCCTGTTTTGCTTTATAGAAATTCTGAAAACCATCGTCGAAATGTTTCTACCTCACATGGACCACCTGACGCTGGAACAGGCTTTCTTTTCACAAGTGCTGCCCAAGGTACTGAACCACGGTCTCAGTCAGCGCGCGGGCCACGAGGGCAGTCGGCAGCCAGCCCGCTTCAGAGCGTTCTCAGTTGCGGTTCTTCTTTAATGTGTCAAACAGATGTGTCGTCCCAGTCAAGTAGTGGAAAGTGGATCTCGGGTGGGAATATGGTGGTGGTAGAGTAGTTAGTTGAGTAAAAAATTTTACATTTTCAGATAGTAGGGATCCTTGACTCATTGAGTTTAAATTATTTGTAGTTAGTTTTAAATGCTTTCATATTTTAATGCTATTAAGTGAAAATTTGGGTTAGATGATAAAGTTAGCAAGTCCCTTTGTGTGTCTTTTCTGTACCACTTACTAGTAATTGTTATCTTTTTAAGAAGAGATTATACTGCAGAATTCCTACAGATACTGATAACACACAGGCTGGCCAGGGTAGGTTTACAGTTCATGTGGAAAATAATACAATAATTAATAAGTAATGATACAAGAATAAGCTGTTTCGCATATTCAAAACTGTAACCCTAGTTTTGTACCACCTTGTATGTTATATATACATAACATTATGTATTTTAAACTAAATTAGGTATAATAGGTAAGCTAGACAAATGAAAATCAACAATTTTGTCAAAGATATCTTTCCTTTTCTAGTGATTTCTGTTCCTACTAATGACCTGCTTTGTGTTTACAGACTGTGAAATTATTTGATGATATGATGGATGAGTTAACCGGTCAAGCCAGAGAACTGTCTAGCCAAAACTTGGAGACCCAGAGCACCCTGAGGAACATCTTACAGGCAAGTCACGTGTCGGGGCAGGACAGACGGAGGGAGCGCGGAGAGAGAGGGTTTTTGTGCTGGTGTCAGTGCGCCTGTTCTCTGTGCGTGGTGGCCGGGGCTGGGGGGGCTCACTGACGGGATTGCAGGTGTGAATGCAGACACCCGAGTTCTGAATGTCTGTGCAGTTTCGTGCTCAGTGCACACCGGACTCTTAAAGGATGACGGGGACGGCAAGCGCACACCCTCCCCGTCACCGCAGGGCACGCGGGCAGGATGCTGGGCACAGGTGTGACATGTGGGCGAGGATTCCAGCCTTTTTTCCTCTCCCACCATGCGGCTGGCTGGTTGTTCTGCTGGACTGGCTCTGCGACGGGAAGAGCAGAGGGCCCGTGCAGTTCACGGCCCGTCCCTGGCACCCAGCCCGCCCACTTCCGGTGGCACAGCGGACGTGTTCCAAATGGGCTCTCCCTCCTTGTCCTCAGACCATGGTGCAGGCCCTGGGCGCTCTCACGGGGTGCGTGCGGCACGTCTGCGCCACGCAGGGGCCCGTCGTCCTCGACAGCATCCAGAGTCTGCCCGCTTCGGTCCTGCACGTGATCAGAAGTACCTTTGTGCACTGCAAGGTGAGTGACGGGTCCAGGCACACTCTGAATGGCCTGGAACCCGAGGGCGGAGGGGCTGAGGACCAAGTCTTGTACGTAAGAGTATGCACTTGAGCCCGCATTACTGGAATAGACTTTGCCATAGAACTGGAAGCATGCATGTAAGTGTTTTTAACATAGTTACAAAGAAGTGATAAAAGTGGGCTTTTGTCTTTTGTTTATCCCGTTTCCTCTCTACCAAGAAAGAAGTGATAGAATTGGTTTAGTCACAAGGATCCTGAAATAGTTCTGTGCTGACGCTGGTGAAACGGATGAATTCCTTAATGAGCAGGTTCCTGTGCAGGGCCAGCAACCCTTGTCTGGTTCCTTTCTGCGTCCCTGGCTGGGGCAGCCTGACGGCACAGAGGCCGTGGGCCGTTTTGATGCTGCCGTGTGTCGGCTGACACCCCTCTTCGGTGGTAGGGGCCGCGCTGCCATGCACCTGACCCAAGGTCGCTCACCCCCCCGCCGCCCCCCAGCGCTGCCCTTGCAGGGTCTCGGAAGTCGCTTCCTTTGCTGCCAGCTCGCCTCTCTTGAAGGGCACATAGTTAGTGGGTGCTCATGGAACCTGTGTTCCACGTACGAACACGTGGGTCGGTGGGAAGCGTGAACTTTGTGATCTCTGATAGTGTGAGTGAAAGTAAATTTAGCTTTTGAGCTTCTCATGATTTTCTTTTCTTCTCTCATTTGAGCAGAACAGTGAGTCTGTGTATTCTGGGCGCTTGCACCTGGTGTCAGACCTTCTCCAGGCACTTTTCAAGGAGGCCTACTCTCTCCAGAAGCAGCTGATGGAACTGCTGGACACGGTGCGCACGGACCCTGCCGACCCTGCCGGCGACGAGGAGGGTGGCGCTCTGGACATGGCGACCGGTGAGTGGGGGCAGGGCCGAGTGCCCTGGTGAACGGGTGTCCGCCGTGCCTGAGCCGCCGCTGTCTGCGGTGCCTCAGGGCGCCTCCGCGGGAAGGGTAAACCCTGCCGGGTGAGTGGTCGGCCTTTGAGATTGTAGAGTGCAGGACCGCTGCTCCATGCCCAGCATCGGCGTTGCACATTCGGACGACGTCCGTAGTGGGTAGCCCCCCACCGTGACCACAAAGACAGGTCTGCCGCGCCATCGCAGCCGCAGACGGGGGCCACCGCGGGGGTTCTGGAGCCCTGGCCGCAGCGGGGAGGGCCGTCTGCAGGCCCCTCTCGGAACGCACAGAATGGCCCGTGCCTGTGCCTGTCAGCGTGTGCACACCGTGTCATTGACTGTGCGTGAGACGGCATCCTCGTGCCCGTGGCGGACTCTGTCACGTTCTGTTTCACGTTTGAAGAATTGCCTTCCCTCACGCGCGGGCCGAGGCCCTGAGATTGGGGAGCAGCGTGAGTGCGAAGGTATTCTCCCGCAGTTCACCGTGAGGGGGGAGCCGGTTCGGTGTGTGTATTAGGTGCTTTTGTCTCTGCAGCAAACCTTCCCCAAAGCTGGGGATTAAGACCACCACCGTTTTACTGACCTGTGGTTCTGTGAGCCAGCCGCTGCGCTGGGCTCCGCTGGGCGGGCTGTCCCTGTTCCGCATGGCAGGGCGGCTCCCCCGTGTGTGGGGTTGGCGGCCTCGCTCAGTCTGGCTGTTGGAAGAGGCAGCAGCACCCAGCTGGCTCGCCGGCTCCCCCACCTGCTGCGGCCTGGGGGTCGCAGAGCGGCGGGGAGGGCAGGCCCCACGGCCAGGCAGGCTCAAGTCTCCGCTGGCCTTCTGGTCGCCGCCGTGCTGTGGACTGAAGCAGGCCGTGCGGCTGAGCCCGCAGCCCGCGTGGGAGGGCGCCGCCGGAGAGTGGGGGCACCAAGGGGACGTTCCCTCGGCCGTTTGTATGAGGAGTCCGCCGCAGACAGCACAGACGCCGTGCACGGGAGCCGTGCACGTGAGCTCTGGTCCGTCCGTGTTCGGTCCTTTCGCCTCGGGTTCCTCTGTCGTTTCAGAGCGGACTTCCGCGCAGAGAGGGTTCCAGTTGGAGTCTCGCGCGGCTTCGTGCCACTCAGCATTTCAGTTTTTGTTTAGGTCATAGGGCGGGTGCAGACTTCAGGAGTTCCATAATTTATGAAAAACTTTAAAAGTGCGACACTTCTCCGATAGTCATTTGGACACCAGTTTTGCACACCGCCTCGCCTGCTCTAGCGGACGTCTGACCGGTCGGCAGACACTTCTAGCGCAGGCGGGCCCTGGCCACCGCAGAGCCCTGAGGGTTCTGTCACCTCTCTCCGCAGTCATCCACTCGCTGCTGGACATCTGCGCGGCCATTTCTGGCATGGACCATGCATTCCACGCCAACACTTGGAAATTTATAATTAAGTAAGTATTTTGTTTTTACTTTCTGCAGTTTTCCCTATCTCAGATCTTAATGATTCACATCAGACTGCATTTGAAACTTCCTTTCCTGTGGGTGTGTGAAATGCTCCGCGGCCCTGCTGTCCGGTGGCCCAGGTCACCCCACACGTAGCCCCCAGACCAGAGTGGACTTCACCCTGCTGCCTCCAGTTCAGGATGGAAGTTCCCCCAGTGCGCTAGTGGGTCCGGGCGATTGCACCAGGATCAGGCTAGACCCGAACCACTTGCCTGCCGCCACTGTGCTGCGTCCTGTTTCCAGGCTCAGATGAATCAGTGACTGCAGTTAGAGCTGAGTGCGATCCCTTCAGTGTGAGCTTCTGAGTCGTTCCACTTCCACTGCCTTTACGAAGTGGCTTTGACTGGAGCATCGCGAAGGGTCACTGGGGAGAGTGCCCACAGCGTTCGTCGGCTTCCTGGGGGCGGGGGGCACAGTCGAGGTGCAGACGTGGGTGAGCACCCCCACTGCGCGCACATGCACGGCACGCGAAGGGTCAGTGTAGCAGCACGCACTTACGCAGCTTACGAAGTCTCCACCAGGCAGCGGCGCGGTGGTCAGGAGCGTCAGCTCAGAGCCCTGCGGCATGTCGCTTGGTCTGTTCCGAAGCCACTGACCCTCCTCAGCCCTGGGGTGGTTTGGGAGGCTTCTCCGCACCTTAGTTTGCTCGTCTGGAAACAGGGCTAGCGGCCATGGCACTTTTACCGTGGGTTCTAGTGAGAGCTGAGTTTACCAGGGTGAGATGCTTTGACGGGTGCATGGCGCATAGTAAATGCTCAACGAATTAGTTGTATTCCCGTTGCCGTCATCACGGTCACATCACCGCCATCCTCACCACCACTATCACCATTACCACTGTCACCACCATCATCATCCTCATCACCACCACTGTCATCACTGTCACCACCATCACTGTCACCATCACCACCATCAAATACTGTCCACTCTCCCCCCCTTCTAAAGCACTGCTACCCAGCATTCAGACTCATGTTTTGAAATGTAATCAGATAGTCACTCAACTGCTTGAAGTCCACCCCATTTTACTACGAGTAACGACCTCGGAACCGCCCCCCCCGGGCTCTGCCCTCCCCTGCAGCCCATCTCCACCCCCGTCTCCGCCGCCCTCTCCGTGCTCACAGCGCAGGGCATCAGACGCACTTCACCGGGGGCTCACCAGCCTCGCGGTCGCCTTCCGAGGGCCGGAATAGTTTCAGGACTGTGTAAATGTGACGGCTCCTTCACTGCTAAGGAGCTGGAATTGCAGTCAGCCCTGTGAAGGCAGCCGTGAGGCTGATGTGGCCCCCGGGGAACACGAGTCCGACGCCCTGACTCACCTCCTCGAACGCACGGAGCGCTCCCATCCCGGGGCCTTGTCGCAGCTCCTCCCTCGGCCAGGATGCTCCTCTTCAGCCTGCACGCACGCCTTGCTGACCCCTGTGCATAACTCGCAGTCCCCAGCTCCAGTGCTGCGCCCTCACGGCAGCATTCTCGGACTCCCACCCTGAGAATGCTGACCGTGATGTGATGTTCGGCCTCCCGCTGGCCCACCCGCTCTGTGTGGATGGGGCAGAGGCTGTGTCTTCCTTCCCCCTCTGCTCCCAGAGCCCGTCAGAGAGACTGGCGCCTGTTGCGTGGAGAAATTAAAAAAAAACAAACAGTAACTTGAATGTGACTGCTTCCCAGGGAAAGGTGACACAACTGTGCCGCATCTCACAGGTGCGCGCTGTGATGTTCCACGTGCTCCTTCGTCATGTTTTATGGCCCGAAGTTCCCTGATGTGCTGCTCGTGGTGACTGCCCTTTTCTCCGTGCTCCTAGGCAGAGCCTGAAGCACCAGGCGGGCGTGAGGGGCCGGCTGAGGCACAGGGACATCGTCGCCAGCCTGTGCGAGGACGCCCTGTGCTCCTTCCGGGCCGGCCTGCAGCTGGCGGAGCAGATGGCCCAGGCCGGCGCGCAGGTACGGTGCTGCCGCAGCGCTTGTTTCCCAGCCCCCGAACCGCAGGGGCTCTGAGGGCCGCTGCGCTTGGAAGGGTTTTTCTTCGCTCGTTTGCGTTTGCCCGTCTTTCAGTCTGTGAGACGGGACTGCAGCCCGTGACTACCTTCACCCCGAACGTGGCCGTGGCGGCAGATGCCTGCCCGCCCTCATCCCCCTGCAGTCCGGCTGTCTCTCCTCGTTCCATACCAACCGGGGGGCCCAGGCCGTCTCCTCGCCATCCTTTCCTCCTCCTCTCCCCGAAAACCCAAGTCGGACGCTTTAGCCCTGTGCTTATTTAAGTCCGTCTTGATGCGGCCACACCGGCCTTTCTTCACTGACCCGGTGCAGCCGCAGTGACCCGTCACACAACTGTGTGTGTGCGCGTGTCTTCTGAAGTAGATGTGCGCTTGCATGACTTTGACTGCAAAGAACTGCAGTGTTGAATTGGCATCCCATTTCTGAATCACCGTATTCTAAAAACTTATTTCTAGTATGCTTACAGGAATTGTTCGTTTTCCAGTGGCAGCCTTAGACAATAGTGCCTTTTGTTCTCAGACCAGCCCTTTGAACTCACTTAACTCATAAAGCCCTACAGTGTAGGGCTAATAGTGCCCCGGACCGAGCAGCTCCATCTTCCAATGGGAAAGGGGTCAGACTTCCTCCACCGCAGGGCGCTCCTCCTGCTGGAGGCCTGCTGGCTGCAGGGGGGGTGGGGGGAAGCCCTGGGGGCCCTGTCCTTCCCGCCAAGCCTCCAGAGGGGAGGAGGAGGGAGGACTCGCCCAGCACCTGTGTGCTTGAGTGCCGGTGGGTGGCCTCTGCTGGGGCAGGGGCGGTCTGGGGGCAGAGGCTGGGGGGGGGCAGGACTTGGGAATGGGGTTCTGCCTCTGCACTGCTGAGGAGGGGAGGGGGTAGCTCAGGAAGGGACTGATCTCTCCCCTCCTGCCTCTCTTTCCTCTCACCTGTCCTCCCATCACTCCCCTTCTCTCTCCCCTTTTCCTTCTGTCGTCTGGCTTCCTTCCTGTGCATTCCTGGTCTCCCTGACCGTGCTGAGAGGCGGCGGTGGGTTGGCCCCCTGCCGTGGCAGGAGGGCTGTTTGCTCCCCAGCCTCTCCAGTACATCTGCATCCTTGGCCCGGCCCCTCTCCCCAGCTCCTTGCTTTTCCTGATGCCAGCTCCCCCAGCTAGTTAGGGCTGGGAGAGGAAGAGCAGACAGAAGTGCCTGGGCAGAGTCCGGGGGCCGTGGAAAGCCCAGGCGCCAGCACAGTCAGCAGTGGGAGGGAAAGGGCAGAGGGTGCCCGGCCAGGGTGGCTGTTGGTAGTAGGTGCACAAGCTCACCTCTTACCACCTGTTTGCAGGTGAAAATCAGAGAATTAACATGGCACGTTATCCTAGCTTCCAAGCAGATGTTCATGTTCTTCCTTACTTGTGAACATCTGGGACCGACAACTTGGACCCTCTCTACTCGCTGTCCCTGGGGGAAACGCAGCTTTGCCCTGGTCTGCCGAGCCAGTCCAGCCATCCCTTCCTCTACACTCTGGCCGGCGGCGCCCTCTGCTGTTCGCTGTCGGTATTTCTTGAGGAATGGACGTCTTCCAAGTGCCAGGGTTCTCATCAGTGTCTAGATAAGACCACTAGGTTTAATTGGTTGTATGCTGTTAATGGAAGGGTCACGGGTCCGTCAGTCCCTGTGTTTACTTACCGGGCAGCCACAGCAGACGACCACGAACGAGGTGGCCCCGGTGAAAGGGCCGACCCCTGCTCCCTCACAGCCCTGCGGGGTGGACGCCAGAGAGGCGGGGGTGGGGCCTTGCCCCGGAGTCCGGGATGGGTGTGCTCCGTGCCCGCCGCTCAGCGTCTGGTGTGGCTGGCGTCCTGGGCAACCCCGGCCTCCGCCGCCTCGTCACGCGTGGGGCCTCCCTGTGCCTTCCCGTCATCCTCATGTGGGCCCTAGCTGACCGGACCCGGGCAGGCCCGCAGGACCGCACATCCACGCAGCACCTCGGCGGCGCCCGTGCCTCCAATGCAGCCACGTTCCGCGGCGCCGGGTCCGGACGTCAGCACGTTTGGGGGCGTGGTCAATCCCGAACGGCCACGGAGACTGACAGTTCCGCTCTCTGCCGAGTCCCGAGTCCCGAGTGCGCTTTCTGGACCAGGGTGTTGTGTTGGCTGCTTAGGGTGTGGCCCTGTCCCCGGTGGTCCCTCCTCCCTCCCGCCCAGCGTGCAGTCTTCCGTCCACCAGCGGTCTCGTTTTCCTGTGAGGACAGGGAGATTTGTTTGGAAGGCTCTTCGATACGAATTTAATTTTCACTGCAGTTCCTACCTTTGTTTATCCGTTGTTTTTAGAAATCTGCATTCTGAGAATAAACATGTATTTTTGTCTTTAATACGGAGCTTCATTGCCTGCTGCGTTTAGGTTTTAGCCAGTGTTTCTCTTGCCTTAGTCACAGAAAGGGGGTGCAGATATACTCAGTCTCCTGAAACGCTGAGGAATGACCTCCCGTGGCTGCGCCCCAGCCCCTCCCTGCCGGCCCTGGGGTGCCGCTGCTCGGCCCTGGGGCGCCGCTGCTCTCTGGTCCCGCAGCTCAGGACCGCGAAGGGGCGGGGTCTGTGCCCTGCACTCGCTTTTGAAAAAGTCAGGATAGAAGCACCTTGTTCTGTTCTGCGAACGGCCGCCTTCCTTCCGTCTGTTGCGCGTCCTGCTGGTTTGCGAGACTTTTGCCGCCGCGTCTGTCCCTCTGCGCGGGGCACGGGACAGTGAGGCGTCTACGTCTCTTCGTGTTGTGGTCAACCCAGAAGGTTCTCCTCTTTGCTCTTATACATTAACATTTATTTTCAGTAATGTAAATTTTTTGAAGTATGTCTGTCATCATTTGGTAATTGTATTGCTCCTAACAATTCAGAGTAGAATTATGTTTTCTTGGAAAATGTTTATACTCTAAGGGTTTTTAAGAGATCTTTATAGAAAACGTTCTCATTTACAAGTTAAGCTAATTTTATATTCTTTTATTATTTATTATATTTTTTCTTTTTTGAAACAGGATAATGCTGACTATAAATTATTTCAAAAAACACTCAAATTGTGTCGTTTCTTTGCCAACTCTCTTCTGCACTATACTAAGGTAAGACTTATTTTTTTATAATGCATAAATGTGAATAAATTATGAATGATCATGTTTGTATCATTCCTGCTAAGAGCAGTCTTTTGAAGTTATTTTGTCAAGAGTGTATTTTTTAGGTCATTTATTTTTTCGTTTAGTATTGTCTGTTGTTAAATATTGAGTATCTGTGATATTATTTAAGTGGCTGTCATCATTGTTATTTGCTCAGTTATCTGAAAAAGTTATTTAATATAAATACAAATAAGATTTCTGTAAGCCCAAATCAGTTTTCAGAAGATGATTCCATTTGTCTTCAAGTACTGCGTGGGCTTCAAATCCGTGAAACTGGGGGGCGATGCTGAGAAAACCCGCGTGGTGGGGAGTCTCCCAGAGAGCAGGACCGCGGGGGTGTGCGCAGGGAGTGGCCGGGTGGTCCGGGCGGGCGGACCTGTGGTTCCCACAGTGGTGCCTGGACTTACAACCCACCGGCAGTGCCCGAGGCTCCCCTGTACCCCACACCCGTGCCGGCACTGGCTCGGTGGCTTCCCGGTGAGGGCGAGGGCCGTTCCGGCAGGCGTGAGGGGCGTCTCCCTGACGGTCAGGGAGGCTGAGCCCCTTTTCATGTGTTTGTCGGCCATGGGCATGCCCTCTTGGGATCTAAGATGTCTCTCAGGCTGCCCATTTTTTAATTAGGTTGTTTAATTTTTCGGTGTTCAGCTGTGTGAGTTCCTTCTACGGTTTGGATATAACCTCCGATTGGATGTGTCATTGGCAAGTATCCGCTCCGACTCGGTGGGTGGTCTTTTCCTGTTGTTGTGTGTGGTTTCCTCCTCTGGGCAAACACTCTCTTGTTTAATGCGGTCCCGTTTCTTTCGTCTCCTTGTCCGAGGGGAGCCAATGAAATGCTGCTGAGAACGGTGGCGATCGCCGCCTGTGTTCGCCTGCGGGGGTTTTATGGCTTCGGGTCTTGCGTTTAAGGGGTGAATCCATTTTGAGTTTCTTTTTGTGTGTGATGTAAGAAAGTGATCTGGATTCTCTCTCTTTTTTCTTTTTGCATGCATCTGTCCCGTTGTCCTGGCTTTCTCACGGGAGGGACTGTCTTTGCCGCGCCGTGTGCCGCTGCCTCCTTCGCCGTGGACTCGCTGACCGCGCGTGCTCGGGTCCACCCCTGGGCTCCCTGCTCTGTCCCGTCGCCCGGGCGGTTTCAGCCCAGGGCTGTGCTGGCCCCTGGGAACCGTGCGGTGCACTTTGGTATCAGTTTGCACGGTACTTAACTTTGTTTTTCTTCCTCGAGATTGCTTCGTCTGACCTACTGTTGATTCTCTCTAAAGTGCTCTTCATTTCGGTTACTGTGTTCTTAGTTTCTGACTGGTTTCTTTTCATGGTTTCTGTCTCTTGTGTAAGTTCTCCCTGAGTCCATCTCTTCTCCCCCTGAGTTCGTTCCGCATCCTTATAATCAGTGTTTTGAACTCCGCATCTGATAGATGGCTCATCTCCACTTCATTTAGGTCTTTTTCTGGATTTTGCCCTGCTCTTTCATTGGGGCCATGATCCTGTGTCTGCTCATTTTGGCTGCCTCCCTGTGTTCGCGTCGGTGCGTGAGGTGGAGTGGCCCTATCCCCGTGGTGGTGGAGCGGCCTCGTGTAGCAGGTGTCCTGTGGGGTGAGGGGTGCAGTCGCCCTGCTCGCCTGAGCGGGCGCCTCTGCGGTGCCCCTGTATTGCTGCCGTTGGCACGTCCTGGGTGCGGCTGCCCACAGCCAACCGGCCGTGAGGGCCGGCTGGGACTGGAGGAGACGCTGTCGTCGTGCGGGGCTGGCCCCAGGGGCCGGGGGTGGCTCCAGCCAGCTCCAGTGCTGCACAGTGTGTGCCTCCCCATGTCGTTTATGGAGCTGGTCAGAGGCTTCTCTCTCCGGGGAGGTCTGGCGCTGGCCACCGGGTATGGGTCCTGGAGCCTCCTGGGCGGGTGCCAGGGCAGGTCACGGTCAGCCAGCACTGGACCCTGGGTCGCAGCCATCTGGAGGGGCTACAGCGTGATCGGCTGTTGGCTGCCCCTGTGCTGGGCTTGGGGGGGTGCCTGGGAGGGGCTGCGCTGTGAGCCGAGGTGGGGCCCCAGGGCTGGGCTCGGCCCCTCCGTGGGCGCTGGGACGCGAGCTGAGGCCTGCCGCCGCTTGTGCGAGGTGGATGGCCAGCCGGTTGAGGCTGTGCTTCCAGCCAAGGCTGCCCCTGCCATGCAGTGCCGGCTGTTGGAGCACCGGGGCGGGGGTGACGGGGCTCGTCGGGTCTGCCCTGCTCTCGGGTTTGTGAGGCACTGGGGGGACTCTGGGGGGACATTGGAGGGACACTGGGGACACCCGCAGGCAAGCCCAGGCAGGCGGTTCGTGGGGGCGGGGCACTGGGAGAGGCTCCCTGGGCTCCGGCGGGGCTGGGTTTGGGGTCATGCAGGTTGGGCACAGTGTTAGCCAGTTAGTGTAGAGCCCACACGGGGCGGGGCACCTGCGGGACAGTGTATTCTCGTATTATTACTGTTATTATTATTGTTTTTTCATCTTCACCTGATGACATGCTTATTGAATGTGGGGGTGGGGGAAGGAGAGGGGGAGGAGCATCAATGCGAGAGAGAAACGTCAATTGGCTGCCCTTTTTCTGCACCCTGACCAGGGACCGAACCCGCAGCCCAGGCACGTGCCCTGGCCGGGGATGGGACCCGCCACCTTTTGGTCTGCGGGACAGTGCCCACCCAACTGAGCCACACCGGCCAGGGCTGTGTCATTTTTCGTACGAACAACTATGAACCTGCTTCTGCCCCACCCAGCACTTGGTGCCCGGCGGCCCCCTCTGGCGATGTGGTGGGAGACAGGACACGGGTCCCTGCCGGGGAGCCCCTGGCCTTGCCCCTGCAGCTGCGCTCTGAAGCCAGTCACTTCGGTTCCTCCCTGTCTGTCCCCGGCCCTGGCCCTGCTTCTGGGCCACCGCCTCCGATCCGCCCTGGCTTCCAGAGCCAGCGAGTCCGCGAGCCAGCGAGCCTGTGCTCGGGCGAGTGAGCCTTTGGGGGAATGCTTTGGCCCCCAGCAGCCTCCGTCTCACTTGGGCACAGTCCCCTCTGTTTGTGCCCAGGTGTTACGGGGACTCCTCTTCCTGGTGGTCTCGCCCTGGGGCGGGGGGCCCGGTGTGGAGCTGGGACCCCTTGCTCCTCACGGGGGACCTTTGCATCTGAGATGCCCCTCCTGGTGCCTGACCAGCACAGGTGGGTGCACTGGTGGCCGCATCTCTGCCCCTGCTGGTCTCCGCGAGGCTGCTCCTTGGACCCTTGGCTGTCGGAGACCCGCTCAGCTCGTCCCCAGGGGTCCTTCCTGGCGGTGGCTTCGTGGTTTGGTTGTGAGTTCGATCTGGCCCTAGGAGGAGGCGGCACAGCGCAGGTCACTGCTCTGCCCTCATGACCCAGACGCCCTCATCGTACCATCTTTTCCATCAGTTCTTTCCTCCCAGGGGAGCTTGTAATTTTTAAAAATTAACCATCAACTTTTTTTCTATGTCCTGACAATAAAGACAATTTCTTGTACTTTCTAGGAGAGAGAGCCTGCCGTAACGGGGTTGGGGGCAGGCACCACTGCACCTGAGGCCCGGCCTTGCCCGGCTCAGCTGTGCGACTGGGTCGCGTTGCTGGACACCCTGGCCCAGCCTCTGTCCTGCGAGGTGCGGACAGCGGCATGGCTGGGGCCTGAGGGGGCTGGGGCCGTGCTCCCCAACACGCCGGAGGGTCTCACAGCTGTGCACGTAGTGAGTGCTGTGCACGTAGTGGGTGCTGCGCACCCGAGAGTCGCTCACCGTCGTTTGGTGACAGTTTTCACAGGAAGGACCTTCAGGTGCTGAGCCTCGTGCTCCCTGTTCTCACGCGAGAGTTTCAGAATGCGGCACGTCCGGGTTTACTTATTGGTGGCCTTGGCGAGGGGGTGTGGGTTAGAGGGGCGCACTGTGCGTGAAGAGTGAGTGGAGCTGTTTTCTTTCAGGAGTTTCTTCCTTTCCTCTCCGACTGCTGCTCTGCGCTGCACCAGCTGTACCTGCAGGCACACAGGTAAGGAGAGCGCCGCGTCGCCGCCGAGGTGCAGCGATGCCGTGTGCGCCAGGCAGAGACCAAATGTGCGTCATTTTAAAGTAACACCTCAGAGTCGCTTCTTCTAGTGTTTCAGTGAATTTTTATCCGCTTGCTTAACGTAGGTGGAAATGGCAGCTTTTAAAAATAGATTCTGTGTGCGTTGGACGTCTCTGTGGTCTGAAGCAGGGCCTGGTACCGAGGGACGACGCCCTTGGCCCACGTGGTGATGGGCACCGGAGGCTGACGGAGGGGCTTGCACGCACGCATGTGCGTTCTGTCGGCACGTGGCTTCCGACCTTGGTCAGTTTCCATCTCAGCTCCACGAGATGGAAGTCAGGTGGTGGGCAGCTCTGCCTCAGCAACAGTGTGAGTTACAGCAAGGTGTCAGTTCGGATAGAGGCTAAGTGACATTTGAAATTGACAGCCACCTCAGAAGAGCCCTCCGTCTGATGCTAAAATGGTCCTGTCACCTCGCTCACCAGGTCCGCCCTCCTCTCCCTCATCCACCCGGCCTCCCGACAGCGTCTGTGTGCCACTCCCCGCCGCCACACCCCCCCTGCCACACTCACTCCCATCACGGTCCCCCCATCACACCCTCCGTCACACTCCCCCGCCACACTTGTCCCCCCGCCACACCCCCCCGCCACACTCACTCCCATCACGGTCCCCCCATCACACCCTCCGTCACACTCCCCCCGCCACACTTGTCCCCCCCCCCGCCACACCCCCCTGCCACACTCACTCCCATCACGGTCCCCCCATCACACCCTCCGTCACACTCCCCCCGCCACACTTGTCCCCGCCGCCACACCCCCCCTGCCACACTCACTCCCATCACGGTCCCCCCATCACACCCTCCGTCACACTCCCCCGCCACACGTGCCCCACCCCAGCACCCATGGCCCGTTCCTCCTCCTCGTCAGCCCTGTGCTCACCGTGTGTGTCGGGGGTGGGGGGGGCCACGTGCAGGAGAGTCCCCGCTCCCGCACGTCCTGAACCTCGCTCTCCTGCGCCGCCACACTCTCTCCCAGCTGCCTCGTCCCTGCGGGCGTGTCCCGGGCTGCGAACCCCGTCTGCAGTCTGCAGAGCGATATGAAACTGTCTCTCAGCCCAGCGTCCTGCCCATCCCGTCCCGTCCCAGCTCTGCCTGTGTTCGCACCTGTGCCGTCGCTGCTCCTGCAGCTGCCCCTCTGATGCTGCGGTCTGGGCCAGGGCCCTCCCCTTGGGCTTCTCCCAGCAGACGCTGCGGACGTGTCTTCTCTTCCTCGTGATTTCCTTAGTGACACGTCTTCCCTGTGGCTCGCTCCACCGTGAGGCCACTTTACGTAGCACGCACAACACCACAGTTGGCGTTCACCGGCTGCTTGTGTGGCTGCAGCAGGCCTCTGGCAGAGAGGGTCTGAGGCGTCTGGAGTTACAGGCGGACCTTTGGTTGTCCAGGGTGCGGGTGCCTGTGCCTCCCCCCTTCGCTGTTGAGGGGTCCACTGCGCTGCCTTTTTAAGCCCATTCCTGTCCGACTCTGCGCCTGCCACTTCCCCAGGGCGGCCCTGGTCAGGGCTGGCCGTGACCCCCTGCCGCCGCGTCCCACGGGCAGCCGCAGGCCTCGCAGCATCCGCCTGTCCACGGAGCCCGGCCCTTCCTTTCGAACTCTGCCTTCCGCTGACTTCCAGGACGCCCCGCCCTCTGGGTTCCCTTCTGGTCTCTCCGGCGGCCGCCCCCCCAGCAGGTGCCGCCCCTTCTCCCAGGTCTCTGGGGTGGGTCCCAGCCCTCGGTCCTCGGTCCTCGGGCCCCTTCTCTGTGGTCCTGTCGTCTCATGACGACATCCTTACTATTTTCCTCCTGCCTGCGTACCCCCACATCTGGTTGATCAGCAGACCCTCTGGTGGTCACCTTCGGTGTCAGTGTGTGTGTCCACTGTGCGTGCACAGAGCCCAACCGCTGCTCCCCGCCGCACCTGTCCCCGGCCGGCCCTCTGCTCCCGCCCCCGCCCTGCTCTAGTCTGTTCTCTGGACAGTATCCAGAGGGAGGGATGGAGCTCACCGGAGACCGTGGGACTTCTGTGCAAACCCTCAGGTGACTCGCATCCCCACGGAGTTCAGCGGAGCTTCCTGTCCGCCTCCCCTGGTTTGTTCTCCGAGGCACATGGCGACATCTGCTCTGCTGTGGATGCACTTGCTCTCCGCGTCTGAGCTGCCTCCCCTCGTTAGCACGGACACTCTGCACCAGCGGTGACTTTGAATTTTGTTTGCTGCTGTGTCCTGGAACAGGGCATGGCATACATGCACAGGCGTTTGGTAAACGCTTGTCGTCAAATAAGTAAACAAAAAATACATCATTTGCCCTGGCTGGCATAGCTCAGTGGACTGAGCGAGGGCTGTGAACCAAGGGGTTGCCAGTTTGATTCCCAGGCAGGGCACATGCCTGGGTTGCAGGCCAGGTCCCCAGTCTGGGGTGCACAAGAGGCAACCACACATTGATGTTTCTCTCCCTTCCCCTTTAAAAATAAAATAAAATCTTTTTAAGATTTTTAAAATTTATTTATTTTTAGAGAGGGAAGGGAGGGAGAAAGAGAGAGAGAAACATCAATGTGTGGTTGCTGGGGGTCATGGCCTGCAACCCAGGCATGTACCCTGACTGGGAATCGAACCTGCGACACTTTGGTTCGCAGCCCGTGCTCAATCCACTGAGCTACGCCAGCCAGGGCTTAAAAATAAAATCTTTTAAAAAAATAAAAATACATCATTTGATTGAAATATGCACCCTTGGCTGCTCTGTAGCTGAGCCTCAAGCCTAGAGTTCTGTTACCTGCGTTTTACCTGTGTCTGCCCTGCACATCCCGCATCGCTGACCCTTGGCTCCAGGCCAGTGTCACCAGCGAGGTGGCCGAGAGGCTCGGGGGGCTAGATGCAGGACCAGACCCCGCAGCCAGCGGCCGGCCAGCAGCGGTGCTTCTGCGTCACACTGCTGAGGCCCCGAGTGTCTGTCTTTAGTGCGTGCTCCCAGGTGTCGTCGTCCCTGCAGGCCAGGGCTGCCCGAGCACTCACCTGCGCCGCGGTCAGAAGCTCGTGGCGCCGACACCAGACACACGCCCCGGGCCCCGCAGGTTTTGGTCGGAGTTCGGCGTGCGCAGTCGCTGAGATGTTTCTCCGAGAGAAGCCCGCCCTTCCTCCGGCGCCGGCGGACGGTTCGGTCGTTGCGGAGGGCTCGCTCCCGAGCAGCTGCACGTCCAGTCCGGCACGTTCCACGCTGGGCTGTCTCAAACAATTTTCCGTAGAAGCAATCATGCCAGAGTTCATCAGGAATATGTTTTTACGTGCAGTGTTTTTACTAGTTACTTAACTTCGTATTTTTACATTATTTTTTAAAAGACATCACTGTCAGAATGGTTTTACTAAAATGCATCAGCGATCCAAAGATTTCATTAACGTTCTAAACTTTCAATTTAGTGTTAGAGCCGTGTGCTGATTCTGAGTTCTTCCTACGGTCACGGTGTCGGCCCCGTACTCCGACTTTGGTTCTACGCAGCGCGTGCCGCTTGCTCTCAGCGTCGTTTCACGGCGGGAGGAGCGTCAGCGTGCAGTGCACTCTCTCCCCGAGGCCGGGAGTGGCCGTTAACGAGCCCGTGTTTCCCCCTTTCCAGCCGGTGCCCCCCCAGCCTGTTCGCGGCCGGCCTTTCCGACGCCCAGCGGGAGGAAGTGGTGGCTTCGTTCCTCGCGGCCCTGGACCCTCTCGTCACGCAGCTGCTCGCCTTCCAGCCCTTCGTGCACGTGGTTCTGGACGGCACGCCAGGTGGGCGTCAGAGCCGGGTCGGCGCTGGAGCAGCTCCTCCTGCCGACGAGGACACGGTGGAGAGGCAGGGACACGGTCCCTCGTGCAGTCATCCTTCTTTCACGTTTCAGAACTTTCACTTAAAGCGTCTTGGGTGTTGTTCTTCTGGGAACACACTTCCCATTTTAAAGTACACCTCTGACTTCTCTGGACGCCACACCAGATTTGTGCTGAAAGCCTGCCGTGTGTGTTCTCGCCAGCGGGCTGCGCCCTAACGCGTGTGTTCCCCTTGCCCGGCAGAGCTGCCCTGCGAGCTGCAGTTCCCGCAGTGCCTGCTGCTGCTGGCCGTCATGGACAAGCTGCCCGCGCAGCCCGAGCACGTGCAGGCGCTGTGGTGCGCCGGGAGCCGGGACCCGGGAGCCGCGTGCAGGTAGCGGGCGTGCCGAGTACATCCGGTCGGGCTGCGGGTGGTGCGGAACGCCCCGTTGTCTGGGAAGACGGTCACGTTAAGTGTCTGTTGTGTCAGGTGTCCTAGTCACTGATGACGGTGGACCTCGTGTGCGTGTGGCCGCTTTATCAAAATGCACACGTAGAAATACATGGGTCCGTAGATGCGGAACACACTTGGTCCTGCTCAGTGTTTTGCGGGGTCTGCCCTGCGGGGCTGTGCAGGTCGAGCGTGCGGGTGGGGGCGGTTGGAAAGGGAGCAGGGGGCACAGGGGCTCCGGAGGGGTGGGGGCCTGGCCCCCTCAGCTCCCTCTGGGGCTGGGGCTTCCCTGGATCCAGCCTCCTCCCCTGGGCGGTCGCTGCACTCCAGCTTCCTCCCTCTTCTGGCCCATCGTCCGGGCCGTGTCTTGTCGGCCTCCCGGAGGCCCGGCTTGCGCTTCCTGCTCCCCTGCCCGGGAGGGAAGCTCCAGCTCGGGCTCCTCGGCCTGGCCGCCCCGTTCTGCCGCCGGCCGCCTCCCGCGCCGGTCCTGCCAGACCTCTCGCTCACGCTGGCCTTGTCCTCACGGGTGTGCCTTCTCCTGTTTCCAGCTGGTCCGTCTTTAATCCGTTGTTAAATCCGCTGTGCAGATTTCCTGAAGCATCTCAATTCTGAAATGACCTCTCCCTGTCTGAACTGATACTCTGTTTCACCTGTGCTCTCTGGCCCTTGAAATACCAGGTTTCTGGGTGACTTTTGTCTTTGACTCTGAATAGCTTAGTGCCATGATGAACACTGGGTAAGGGATACAGAATGCGCCAGCAGATTCTTGTCCTGTAAGGGACTTCTCGAACTGTGACTGTATTTTATTTCTGCGTGCTCACGTCCGCATGTTGGAAACGTATGCCTCTTGAGACACCTAGCCTTGCCTAAACGACCTGTGATGTGTCGTGTTTTCGTCACGATACCTGCTAATTGTTAACAGCATTGGCTTCCTTGTCCCCGGTCTTCCTGCAGGGCGTCCCTGCTCGGGGCCGTCTTCCGCAGCTTCGAGCACTGCGCTGGGGAGCTGTCCCTGCCCATGCGTCCGCAGGGGGTGCGGGGCGAGGGGCGGGCCGAGGTGGCCGTCACCTTGTACCAGCACGCCTGTGTGCGCCTGTGCGCCTTCATCGCCTCCCTGCGCCCGTCGCTGTTCCCTGAGCTGGTGAGTGTGTTCCCCGCTGGGCTGCGCGAGGTTACGCTCCCGCCTCGACCCCCACCCCCTCTGACACTGTGATTTAGACACAGGGGACGGTGGGAATCGTTAGCACACGGGCTTTTTGCTGCCACTCCCCCAGCTCACACATTTCACCCTCGAACTCCGTTGAGTCGTAGGAAGTGGCAGTCCCAGCGTCTTACACTGCTGACGTGTAGCAGTTAGCTGGAATACTGGAGAAAACATTTCGGGTGGGGAGGTTTGGAAAGACTGTGAGGGGAGGGAAAATGAGAGGATCTTACCTGAGCTCCGTAAAGAAATAAACTGTAGTATGCATTGCCAAGTCTCCGTAGATCTTAGGTATAATACAGACTTTTTTAATGGAATTGGATTAGAAAAGATGCTGAGGAAATTCCAGGGAAATAATGGTTAGAAATTGCGTAAGTATGGTCATCATTTAATACATTGTACAGTGGGGAACATCAGCCACGTGAAAGACTGTGTTTGGGTGACCCACGGCAGAGGCAGAGGCTCCTGTGTCACGGACGTCGTCGTCCTGAAGACTTCAGGCTACGGGGAGCGTCCTGGCGGCCCCGGTGATTGAGTGGCCACCGCGAGCGCCGGCTCGAGGTCCCCGCAGCCCGGCCCAGGGCTGGCCGTGGTCGGGCCAAACAGATGCAGAGGGCCCTCGGGCCAGCCGGCTCCCTCGGGCTCGGGGAGCAGGAGCCTTTCCTCGGAGGGCCTGCGGCCGTCCGGACCGTGAGGGCCTCTGCTCGTGCTGAGGAGTTGGGGTCGAGGGCAGCTGACCGCCAGCGCTGTGTCTCTCCCCAGGACGCGGCCCTGCTGGACGCCGTGCTGAGTGCCGACATGATCGCCGCCCTGCTGGCCGTGGACGCGTGGTGCTTCCTGGCTCGGTACGGCGCGCTGCCTGTCCGGTCGGGGGTGGGCGTGGGTTTGCAGCAGTGGCCGGCAGTGAAGGAGTCGGCTCTCACAGACGGGTTCCGGCTCGGCGACCCTCCAGCAGCCCCTGGGTGGGCCGGGTTCACGTGGGGAACTGGGCTGCTCCCCCGGCTTTGGTTTGCACCTGTGGGTGCTGGTTCTGTGTATCGCGGTCCCCTCGGCTGCGGAAATACCTGCGGTTCAGACAACGTGGTGCTTTATGGAAGCTCACCTCCCTGCTTCCCGGAACGACTGTGCCAATGACTGTGTCCCGACGGCCTCCCTTGCGTCGCAGGTACGGGACCGCGGAGCTCTGCGCGCACCACGTCGCCCTGGTGGCTTGCCTGGTGAGTGGCGTCGCAGCCCTGGCGCGGCCCTGCCCCCGGAGCCCCCGGGCAGAAATGCTCACCTGAGCGGGTGAGCGCCCGGCGCAGAAATGCGTGGGGGCTGCAGTCCAGCAGCTGTTGATGCTGTTGAGAGAGACGCACCAGAAACACTAAAATCGGGGGAACGGTCTCGTGTTTTCAGAATTTTATAGAGCTGCTTTAGTTGTTTGGTCCGGGAGGGGAAGACCAGGGTCACTGTGAACAAACAAAGTCAGGTGCGGAGCAGGAAGTCGGGAGAGAGCGAGCTGTGGGGCGGATGGCCCAGCGCCCCTCCCCGCACTCAGCCCGCTGCCCCCGGGGCTGCCGTGCCCCTCCCCCCTCGGTCCAGCCAGTCTCTCCTGTCTCTTCCCAGATAAAGTCGTGCCCTGGAGAGTGTCGCCAGCTCACCCACCTGTCCGTCCTGCTGAGGCGCCTCTTCTTCTTCATGGCCCCGTCCCACCAGGCAAGGACACCCTTGTGGTCACTGCCCTGGTGCTCACTGCTGTCCCCGCTGCTCGGGAAGGCTTGTCCCTGCCCCCCCCCCACACACACACACTCTGCATTTACATGTGGGTGTGATCTGAGCGAACTGCGCTGCGGCAATTGGTCGCTGTGCTGGCTGCTTGTAGATGGTGCAGGTTTTGGTGATGTTGAAGGAAAACCAGGGCTGCACAGAGAAAGGAGACCCGGGTGTGTGCGGGGGCTCGGCCCCGCCTTCTGTGCAGACAGGTGTGGGCTCGGAGTCTCGCGAGGGGCGGGAGGGCAGCAGCCCGGGATCGGGGAGGGGGCCGTGCTGGCTGAACCAACCCGGTGAGACCCCAGACCCCTGCGGAGTGCAGACCTGGCGGTCAGACAGGAGGGGAGAGGGGTTGCTTCTGAACTGCCCGCGGGGGTTCCTGCTGACGCTGGATGACGCCGGCCCAGCATTGGTGGGGGGGGGGGGCTCAAGCCCAAGGCCAAGGCCCAGTGGAGCCAGACTCAGGTCTGCCAGTGTCCTTTCTGCAAGTTACAGGTAATGATCCCGCTTCTGTCTCCTGACACAGCCCTCCCCTCGGTTCTCACACAGAGAGGACACCTGAAACGGTTCTCTGTCTCCCGCCCCCTGAACTGATCGAAGAGCTAGAACTCGACCTGTGTATGCCTTAGCGATGTCTCCTGTTTCACAGTAAACAAGGAGAGCAGGACAGCCTTTGCAGTTTGCTGTGGGGACACAGGTTCCGTGATGCGGACGGGGTGCAGTGGCCGGCCTGGGATCCTCGGGGTCCTGCGCCTGGGCCACTGGCAGGTGCTGTGGAGGGAGGCAGGTGCTCTCTGACAGCCCGGGTTCCTGGGCCTTCCTCCGTGAGCAGAGTGGCTGTGGCGTGGCGGCGGCGGTAGAGTGAGGCTCAGGGACGCGTTGCTGTTGCGCTGTTCACTTCCTGGTGAGTCCGACGTGCATGCGCGCCCAGGAGACTCCAGGTTCGAGGAGGGGTCGCAGACCGAGGCAGGGAGGCCAGAGGTCAGCGTGCAGGCCCTTTAGGTCCCGAGATAAGAACCCGGACGGTGGTAGTGCCGCAGCATGAACACGAGAGAGTCCCAGCGCAGCGGCGTTTTACGTGACGGGTGTCTGTGACGGCAGTTCAGGGGACAGTGCCGGTGTGTTGGGAGGTGACAGCGAGTTTGCAGTTTCAGTGTGGAGGGTGGCGGTTGAACGCCTGTTTCTGTTGTGAAGCTGGACACAGTGTCCCCGTTTCACAGGGACAAGCAAAGTACAAGGAGGTCACCCGAGGGGCGTGGATGCGACACGCGGTGACAGCTGTGCTGCCACTTCTGTGGAAGGTGAACCTGACTGTGTCGACGTGAGTTTCCGGCGCACGGCTGTGTTTTTGCCCTCAGCGCTGAGGAGGAAAGCCGGTTCTCAGAACGGTGGCCCCCCGGGCCCCCTCCACCCCGGCCCCCTCCACCCCGGCCCCGCGCTCGGCACCAGCAGCCCCGGCCCGCTGCCCCGTGCGGGGACCAGAGCCGTGGAGCCCAGGGCAGCGCACGCACACGCCGCTCCTCCCTCGTGACGCGTTTCGGCAGTGCGTCCCCTTCTGGGGTGTCCGAGGCGTCACTTCTGTCGTTTCTGCGTGGGGACTGGACACGGTCCTCCTTTGGTTTCGTGCGCGGGGCCGCTTGCAGGGCACGGCAGACGCGCAGCTCACGAGGTCGGGGTTCTGGTGCTCGCGGCTGCCCCAGGAAAGAGCCGCGCGATTCCTCCCTGGTTTCGACAGCGAAGCGTTGCCTGCAAACACAGTAAGGTTCACATACAGATAGAGAACATGGAGACGGTTCTGTCAGTTTAGTACCGTGTGCTTTTTAGGACTTCTGGTGTAGGAGAATCTTTCATTCAACAAGCAGGTGTCGGGTATTGTAAATCGGATGATTGTGCTTAAAAATTACGTGAGTGTGCTCCCTGGCTGGATTTCACTTCAGAGTTACGTGCACTGTTGTTTCTGCTGTTTTCCACGGGGAACTAATTTAACGTTTCAGCTGCCCCACTTTTGGTCGGGCGTGTGGACGCCCCCCTTAAACAAACCGCGCTGGCTTCCGGGCGGCGTCCGTGCGTCTCAGGCAGGGCAGGGCCCGTGACCTCTGCCTCGAGCGCTCGTTGCACCTTCTGGACCTCACTGTGCAGGGGGCGCGTCAAGTCCTGGCACGTCGGCCGGCGTCCCGGGGGCCCATCCAGCAGCCGACCAGGGTCTCGGGACGCCCCTCCTGGGACCTGCTCAGTGGGTCCCTGTCGCCCCCCCGCGGCCCCCTCTCGGCCGCCGCGTCCCTGGAGACGGGGCAACAACGGAAACAGCGTGTGCTCCCTCCCGCCCCCTTGGCCTGGTGCCTCGTGACCACTCCCCGCCCGGAAGCCCGGAGAGCGTCGACTGTGGGAGCTGCCGCGTGCTGCTCCGCAGCCGCTCCTCCGACCCTCGTATCACTCGTGTGTCTTCAACCGTGTGTTTCAGGCGCAGTTCGTCCGGGAGTTCCCCCCCCGAGAGCCGGAGAACCTGCCCCTGTGGCAGCACATCTCCTTCCAGGCCTTCCCCGAGGCGCTGCGGAGGCTGGCTGCGCAGGAGGTCGCCCGCGCCGGCGCCGCGCACAGCAGGGGCTGGCTGGCCGGCAGTCGCACGGCCTCGGAGCTCCCCTCACTGGCAAGTGGTCCGCTCGATGGGTGGGGGTGGGGTTCTCTCGGCGCTGGGCAGAGCCCCCGCTGGGTCCCCCAGGGCCTGGGGGCTGCAGTGGTGAGGTGGGCAAAGCCGCTGCCTCAGGCTCTGGCTCCTAGAGACCCCCGCACTGTGTGTGTGGTGGCTGGCACCGGCCCACCGTGGAGCGCAGGGCGAACACTCCATTTGCAGTGTTTTTGCCGGCACGCCGCTGGTGGGGCTGCCGTCCTGTTTGGCGGGACCCTGCCCCGTGAGTGCAGGCCTCCCTGAGCCTTTGTGGGCCTGCCTTGTCAGAACGCTGCCCCTCAGACAGGGGAGTGGGAAAGGAACCACCTGTGAGAAGCAGCAGACGCGTGGCCTTGAGGAACTGACCGGCCGCAGTGCGTGGGGCTGGGTTTCCCACGTGGTGTTCGTGTGCTCGTTTGTCAGCCGCCTGGGACACTCGGGGGCGGGGGGGGGTGCTGGTCCCCCGGGGCGGCACCGAGCCCTGCTCGCGGCACGTGCCTCCTGGCCAAGCCGGGCAGTGCAGTCGGTGAGCCGTGCGTCCGTCCGTGCCACGCGGAGGAAACCGGGCCAGGGCGGGAGCAGCAGGGTTTCCGGGGCGACGTCCAGTCCCGCGTGCGGGTGCTCCGTCCGACGCTGGACGGCTGCAGGCCCCGCCCCCAGTGTCTGCGGTCAGAACGTTTACGCAGACCCAACGGGCATGTGTGGGGCAGCCGTGAAACAGGAACAGGCTCAGTGGTTCTGTTCTTGCACGTTTTGGTGCGCTGACTTCTTTAGTAAAGGCAAAAACATATGTGTCGGGCAAATAAAACCACCGTTTTCTAAAACTGAGTAAATCTTGACGTGCGGCCAACACTGTAGTTCAGCGGGTCGCTCACCCTGTCTGTCTGTAGAAGGGGCAGCGAGTGTGGCCTGGTCACTGCCTTCTGGTCGCTGTGCCCCCCACCCCCACCACCACCTCTCTGTGAGGGAAAGTGCGTCCAGCACAAACCGACTCCCAGGGAGGCAGCAGCTGAAGAGGCGGCGGCTGTGGGTCCACGTGGGGCTGGACGAAGAGTCCCGAGTCCCTCGCAGCCGTGGGGGCGTGGGCGCCGCGCCGGGGCTGCGGCCACACTCGGGTCCTCCTCGCCTGTCCCCCAGGACGCAGCGCTCTCGGCCGTGCTCGCCGTCTGCTCCTCGGCCGGCGACGCCCTGGAGGCCGCGCAGCGGGCTGAGCTCCTGGAAGTCGGCAGTCAGCTCTGGGCTTCCCTGCACGGCCACCTGGTAAGGGGACGGCGGTCGCCGTCCTGGGGACAGACACCGCGTGTGGGTTCTGCGTGTGGGTCCAGCTGGTGGTGGCGCTGGCCGGTGCATGCGGCCGGTTGGTTCTCTCAAGGTGGCTGCATTGGGTCAGTGAAACGGCGGCGGTCCAGCCGCCTGTGTCCACTGCCAGCTGGGCCCACTCACTGCCCCCGGTCTCTTCTCTCGGGGTCTTCCCATCTTCTGGGCTTGCAGGCGGCAGGGGCAGGCGGGCGGGTGTGGCCAGTCTGTGCCTTCTCCCCAGAGACGGGCCTGGCACTGGAGTGACAGGGGCCCCGCCGGTGACTGTGGCCTGGAAACACCGAGTTCAGGCACCCGACTGTGACAGTTGTTTGCTGTGGCTGAGGAGGAATAAACATTGGCCTCTGCCTGCCCTGCTGGCCGGCGCTGACCGCGGCAGGCCCGCTTTCGGGAAGTGCCGGCCATGGTGTCGGCGGGTGTTTCAGCCCGAAGTGTGTGTGTGTGTGTGTGTGCGCGGCAGGACCCTTCACTGCTGCTTCCCCAGCCTCCCAGACCGCTCGTCTGTGACAGGCCACTGAGGCGTGCTCTGTGGGGGCAGCGTGCTGGGTCGTGAGAGTGAGGGTTAGGGGAGGGATGGGGGTTTAAGGCGACTTGGGGACACGCTGCCGCCTCCCGGCCGTGGGGTGGTGAGCAGAGCGTGTGCCCCCAGCCCCTTTGCTCCCTGTGTACCGAGCGCCGGCCACGTGGGGGGGCCCCAGACAGCACCGCGGTGCAGGGTGAGCGCCCGTGCAGAGGTGCTGTTCACGTGTGCCTGGAAGTTTGCACTGAAATCATTCCCTCTTTTTCGAGGTGTCAGGCCAGCCTTCTGTTCAGCAGACACTCAGCCTTTTGCTTCCACTGCTGGGATTCTTCGTCCAGACTCTCGACCCTCAGCTGACAAGTCAGGTACGAGGAGCGAGTGAGTTGGTGCTCCGTGGGGGAGGTCGTTGGGCTGGCGCTTGGGCCTAAATCTGTCTCTGGAAACAGCCCTGCCTGACGACTCCTCGTGCAGTTTGCTGGCTGCCCGTCTCGTTGGGCTGCTTGTCCAGGGGCGTCTCCTGTCCCTCCTCCCTTCTGGCGGCGCCGCTGGTGACCGGGCTGCGCGCTCGCCCCGGCCTGTCCTTCCTCGCCTCCCTGGCGCGGACTGGTCGGGGTGGCTTGTTGCTGTCACCGCCCCGGAAGCCCTGGGCCGTGGAGTCCCCGCCGAAGTGTCGTCCCTCCGAGGCCCGGCAGGTGGGGAGGGAACCCGCGGGACGGAGGGCTGGTCCTCCTCGTTTCTTCGAGGAAGCAACCTGGAGGGAAGAGCACTGCCTGCCGAGCGTGGCCGGGCGGGGCCGGGCTCACACCATCGTCGGGCGGCTGGGGGGCCTCTCCTCTGCCCCCCGGCGGGGGCGGGGGTTCCAGGCTGATGGGGGAGAAGAGGGGAACGGGCCTCTCTCCCGCCCGAAGTGGTTGGGAGGCCGCGGGAAGCCCAGACGGACAGTGTGGTCCCAGAGCGAGCGGGGCTTGTGTTCACCGCCGCGGGAGAGGCCGGCAGGAGGCAAAGCCGCTTCGAGCTGAAACGGACGGCTGCTGTGCAGGAGGGGGGGAGGGGGGGTGGGGCAGTACAACTGGGGACGCTGGGTCTCAGTGGCTCTGGCGAGTGGTTGTGACGTGAAAAGCCCAAATATCTGCTAAGTAGGTATGTTTTTAACTACTTGTTTGTGTAACATGGATTACCAAATTATAGAGAATGAGAATATAGTGAAATAATTGACTCCATTTCTATGAATGCAATACTTCGTTTATTTCGAAGGTTCTGGTATTCTTTTTCTGAAAAACTAGATACTGACAGTTTGATACACTTGTGCCTGCCTTTAAAAACCCAAGTAACTGAAGCTCTGGGTCCAGCACGAGTGTCCACTTGTGGCGCCGCCCCCGCGACGGAGGGCAGACGGAGGGCGTCTCCCCGCCTCCCTTCAGGTCGGGGCTGGAGCCCGAGGCCTCTCGGCCGGGTCCTGCCGTTCCCAGCACAGCCGCCAGGGGGATTTTCCCCGTCCTTACAGGGCTTGTAAACTCACACACAACAGGTGACAGGGGACACGTGGCCTGCCAGGTCTACAGCGTGGACCCCCGGCCCGTGGCCGTTGGCAGGGGGCCTGCAGGCCCTGCTCACGAGCAGGAACTCGTCCCACCGGGTCCGGGGCGCAGGCGAGTGTCGTCGGAGACCTCGGTGAGGGGCGAGCGGGCCGACCCTCCCTCCCGTGTCCGGACCTGGAGGGCTGGGCTCCTCCGGGTTTGCTCGGTCCCCCTCCCGTGTCGCCAGCAGAGCCCGAGACAAGTAACCGTCCCCTGGTCTGTGCTCCGCAGGTGGTGGCTCTGCAGGCCGTGCTGCTCCAGGCGGGGCCCCCCGACCACGTGCGCCTGGCCGTCCTCGACTTCGCGGGGTCCCTGGGGACACTCCTGATACCGCCGGCTCTGCAGGTGACGCTCCGAGTTCCATCCTCGCGCTCAGCACAGACTCGGGGCGGGGGGCGGGGGACCGGGTTCTCAGGCTCTCGGTCTCCCCGGTCCTGTGGGCTGCTGGCGGCGTGAATTGGGGCCGGATGTTGTTTGTGAGTAGGGGGTGACTTGGTCACACCGGCACATTTTAAGTTACGTTCTTCTAGAGGAACGTTGACATGTGCAGAGTTGGGCTGTCGTCTGGGTTCTTGGAGCATCAGCACGAAACGAAGTGCTCAATGAGAAGTTGGGTAGCTCACTGAAGTCACGCTTTTAGTTCTGTACCTGTGAACGGGGACTGTAAAGACGCTGGTTTGTGACAGTGTGGCCGAGGACACGTGGTTGACAGACGGGTGCGTCTTCACAGAACCTGCCGTGGGGGCCGGGGGCAGGCCCTGCCGGTGGAGGTGCCGCCACCCGGAGCTGCCCCGCGGCGACTCGGGGCCGGCCTTCCGCTGCGCGGGAGAGGCCACGGGGCAGCTCCCCGACGGGGCCTCTGTGTGAGGGGAGCAGGACCACGAGGCTCGTTGCACGTTGATGAACACCTTGGAGACCCCAAAATTTACCTGGTTAGCTTCCGAAAGGCTTTACTTTTCACAGGTGAATGCTATCGAACCGCCTTTCCCATCACGTGAGGCTGTTTCGTGGGGTGGGTGTAGGTGCCGAGTGTGTTTCCCGCCGTGTGGGCGGAGCGCCCCAGGTGGCGTGCACGTGCTCCAGTCAGACCTGGGCGCTCGGTCCCCCACCTCCCAGGCGACAGAGGAGATTCGGGTTTTGAACTGACTGCTGCTTAGACACTTTCCCGGAACGGACCAAGTTCAAGGACCGAGGCTCCAATGTGTTTTCTCGTTAGCGCCCGAGTGTTTTCCAACATGCGGCTGCTTTTGGCCCGCCGGGTCCGGCACCCACAGAACGGGTTTCATCAGCGGAAGTTACCTTGCACGCTCCTAGGAATGCACATCCAGTCTGGGAGCGAAGTTAAGGCCTGAGAAAATGTGGGGGATTCATCAGCAAATGAGAGGCATTTAAACCATGAGATAAGATTGAGCCACATACTCATTTAAGAAGACAAAATTACTGAGTTTTCGTGCGGGTCTGGCACTGCTTCAATCTCTGGGGACTCCGGAACGAGCCGGATGAATGAACCCCGCCCTCACCCCCCCCCCGCCCCGCCCTGCCGAGAGGCCACAGACCAGCGAGGTGGTGGCGTGTGCCCTGTGACTGCGAGAAGCGGTGTGGGGGGCGGGCCACGCAGCCCCCGGGACGAGCGTCTGCCACGCGGGGGAGCGGCCTGGACACAGGCTCTGCTCGGGGAGCCCGTCCGGTCTCGAGGGCGGCGGCGGCAGCCACCTGCCCACCAGAGTCAGTCCGGTCCCTGGGCTCCCGCCGGGGGAGGCGCGAGGTCCGAGCAGAGGCGTGAACGGCCGGCCTCCATCGTAAACGCTGCTGCTCGCAGGGGCGGCCTCAGGGACCTGGCCCCAGGACGGGGGCACCGCCGTGGTCTGCTGAGGTTCCCCCGCTAAGGCTCGGTCCTCTCTCCAGGACAGAGTGCTGCCCGCCCTGGCGTCCATTTTCGCCTCGCTGCTGGCTGACGGGAGCTGGCTGCTGGAGCAGCTCGCCTTGGAGGCGTTCACGCAGTTCGCTGAGGTACGACGTGGTCGGCGGAGCGTCTACGGGCCGGGTACCCCATGGCCCTGCACACGCTGGTGGACTGCCCCTGGGCCGTAGCCGGAGCACTTCCTGCCGCGGGGAGTTGCTAACAAGGAGGCTCTGAGGAACGCGGAGACTGTCCTGAGGTCCCGTGGGCACCAAGGCCCCGGCCGGCCCTGCAGCCGGGTCTGCGGACTCAGGCGGCCCTCCCGACGCCGTCGTCCTCGAGCAGCCTGGGGTCAGGCCCCCGAACACAGCCCTGCTGGCCTGGTGCCGCGGGGACGGCGGCCCTGCCGTGGGCCACGCCCTCCCTGGCACCCTGGGCCGCGCAGTCGCCCCTCTGGGCCTGGGGCCCGGAGGACAGCTGGGCAGAGTACAGCCCACAGCCCGGTGCTCAGCAGAGCGAGGCGGTTCCCTGCGGCGCTGGAAGGTGCTGCGAGCTAACCATCCCCTGAGAATCTTCTGGAACGATTTTCTTTGAAAATGCCTTTTTGGTTAAAGTAGCTCTTAAAACTCAGGTATATGTCTTTGCAACTTATCAAAGTATATTAAATTCGGTCCTATCAATTTTTAAACAGGGTACAAGTCATGAGGAGATAGTCCCACAGTGCCTCAGTTCTGAAGAAACGAAGAACAAAGTTGTGTCCTTTCTGGAGAAGGTATTCGTTGCACGCAGCAGCAGAACAACGGTGTTGCTCCCTGTTCTTTCTCTTGCCACGTCGGTTGGCGGCGGCAGTGGCGGTCGTGGTGGTGGAACCGGGCCGACGGTCTCCGCAGCCCACGTTCGCACTCACGCGTGCAGCCGGGAGCACGCTCCACGGTGTCCTGGGAGGCAGCCTCCTGGGGACCCTGACCCGTGTCTCCGGGGACTGGCGGGCCCGAGAGGCCCGTGCTTCCCACCGGGACGCAGGCGTGACCCCAGCACGGCTCTGCTGCGCCGACAGAGACCAGGACCCACTTTTCCAAGTGGGGCCTCTTTCAGGCTCTTGTTCCAGTTAGCACTAGAGTGAGGTGCTGCTCCCACACTCGTGCGTCCTGTGACACCTGCACGGGGACAGTTGGGACGTGAGGTCGGGCTGAGGGGCGCCCTGACAGAGCAGTGCGTGACAACACCAGCTCGAGGACGCCCGGAGTCTGCCCGGTGGCCGGGGGGCGGGGTGGGGCGGCTCTGCTGACCCGGCCTCTGTGACCTCCGGCAGACGGGGCTCGTCGGCGAGACGGCAGCTGCCCGGGCGGAGCGTGTGAAGCAGGAGAAGGGGGTTTTCTGCCAGTGCCCAGCGCGGGCCGCGTCAGGAGGAGCCCGATCACCGTCTCCACAGGTACGGACTGCGGCGCGGCCCGGGCCACGCTTCCCGAGGGGCGGTGCGGCCCTTGTTGCCCGAGCGGGAGCAAAGCCGACTCGCAGTGTTCTCGAACTCACGAAGTGTCAGAGCAGTCAGAGACCCAGACTGTGAAGTTCCACCGTTGTACAGCGGTTGCTGCTTTAGAAACCCTTTTCCTGAAAGGTTGTGGACACGTAAAACAGGTGGGACTACAGAAAAACACATCTCAGACATCACTCCACATGTGCCGTGGACACGCCTGTTGCGTGCAGTGACCTCAGCCGGCTGCGCGGCAGCCTCCTGGGGCCGTGGAGGAGACCGGCCCCCCCTCCCCCGGCCGGGCTGACCATTGTTTCTGGCCGGGCCCAGAGATCCCAGCTGCCTGTTAAAAGGCAGGACTCTGACTCCACTGAGGACGCTGAACATGCTTTTTTGAGCACTGACAGTGTGTTTGGAATCGCAGTCCCTAAGAGGAACAATGTTCTGGTAAGTTTTCGTACGTTTACCACTTGTTTTCAGGACTTAACTCTCAGACTGTGAGGTCAGAGAGTCCATCAGTGGTGTCAGTCAGTCCTCGAGAACGCACGATGTCCTTCTGTCCTTCCTCAGGAAGGCAGCGGTCAGAAAGGGTGTCGTGGCCCTTTGCCCCCCACCCCGTGTGGCGTCTGCTTATTGGCCCGGCTCCAAAGCACCGGGAAGACCCCCCCCCCCCAGTCAGTCGTACACGTAGCAGTGAAGAGAAAAGGAGGCCCTGAGAAACACTCACGCTTGGGCTCGGGGGTGAGGTCACGTGTGTCCAGTTCCCTGGGACCCCAGGCGCGGGGGGCGTCGGGTCCCTGAGTCGCCGTGACAGGTCAGACGTGCCTCCGCGCTGCACCTTGCCCGGCGGCGGCGGCACGGCCCTCGCGAGCCAGCAGCCAGAACGCCGTCTGCACCGCGCAGCTCTGCACTGGTGCCAGGTGGGGCAGGGGGCGCTCAGTCGGGCCGGGGACAGGTGCTGGGCATCGCCCGCCGCACTCACCAGCTCCCTCTCCCGCACCAGCCTCACGCGAAGAGAGCCCGCGGCGAGCCCCGCCTGGAGGAGGAGTACAGGTCGGCGCTGCGGGCTGCGACGGGCGCCCTGGAGGCCCTCGGGTCCCTGCTGCGCAGGTGCCCGGCTCCAGACTGGCTCCCCCGGGAAATGCAGCTGCTGCAGGAGAAGATGGGTGAGCTGCGGCGCCAGGGGCCCTTGGGCGACCCGTGACCGGACGACCACGGCGTGGCCTGGAGCCGCCGGGAGGGTCGTGTCGTGCTGCGTTTTGCAAGTGAGAGGATCGGTATAACTCTGCCTGTGCCTTCTCTCACCCAGAAAGAGACTTCTGTCGAGGTGCATCTAGTGAAAATAGCCTTTATTGGACATTTACAGGACAGGGGCACGGGTCTGTCTCGGGAGGGACTTTGGTGCACGTAACAACACGTGTGGGGTCAGTCAGTCCCGGCGCCAGCCCCGGGCCCAGGGGGACTGCAAACAAATAAATACGCTGCCCGAGGAGACCTCAGCAGTCCACAATCACTTGTATCCTTTATAGCTAGATTCTTTTCAGTGTTCACAACAGAGCTGATTCTTTCCACTGCTAAAAAATGGCACAGAGTTAAGCTAACCAGCTTGAAGTTCTGTATTTATTCTCTTCACTTCCAGGGTCACCTGGCCTTAGAGGCACAGCCCCCTCAGGGGAGGGCCCCCCGAGGCGCCTCTGTTGGCACTGACGGAGGAGCTCCTGCCTTGAGGAAAAGGGTGCGCGGGCTGTTCCTGTCCGCAGAGCCCGCGGTTGAGGTATTCGTTTGCTTTTTCTTAGAAAAAGGAATCCTTTTCCCTAGAGTTTCACTCACAGCCATTGTCACCAGCTGCCGTCGCCCCAGCTCAGCTCCCCGGCGTCGCCCCAGCCTTCGGACTCCGCCTGCAACGACACAGCACAGCGCGGGCAGCCATGGGGCCGGGGCTCCCCGGCAGGGACTTCGGGGCCAGGGCAGAGTTCCTCGCGCGGAGCAGACCCACTTTCTAAGCTCCTCCTAACCCAGCACAGTCAGAAATGACACCTTCCCCTGGTTCAACCCACACGGGTGACCCCTCTGCCCGGCGGCCCGCTGAGCACCTGGCCCGCACCGCGGCCTTCCCCGGAAGGGAAGGTGGCGACAGGAAGTGGCCTTTGCTCGCCTTGACTGCTGACTAGCCATGCGCCGCCGTCCAGCCCCTCGGCGGGAGGACGGTGGGGGGGTCCGTTAGGAAGGGGACAGGGCGGCTGGGACCCGCCAGGCGGTCCTTACCTCGGTGGTGTCTGCCGCGGCGAACTTGGAGGAAAACTGCATCCCCGGGGCGACGGCGTCCTCCAGGGGGCCCGTGGGGCCCGTCCTCAGCTCGGGTGGAACGAGAATGGTGGCCGAAGGCTGGATGTCGGGGGTCATGTCAGCAAACCAGTCCAGCTCGGGGTCCTGCCCCGGCTTCTTCTTCACGTGGATGGTGAACTCCTCCCCTAACCCCCACTCCGCGGGGGCCTGGGGGCGCCTCTCCTGGGACGGCCCCTTTGGTGGCTTGGTCTGCTCCGGGTGGGCCACGCTTGGGGCAGGGCTGGTCTTCGGGGGTTGGCTGGACGCCAGAAGCCCGGCCGCCTCCGTGAGCAGAGGCGCCACTGTGGGCAGGGCCTGGCGCTCCCCTGGGGTGGCGGTGGCTCCGCCTCCTGGGCCCCCTGCAGGGCCGGGGCCGCCACGCTCCACATCCTCCTGGGTCCCTGCCGCTGCCTCTGAGTCTCGGAGCGGGGACCTGGCCGCCTCCGGGGGCTCTGGAGGCCACGCCGGCGCACGGGCAGTTCTGTGGCCCGGCTCCTCGGGCTCGCTCCAGTCAGGCCACTCCTCGGCCGCCTGGGGGCTGGGCGGGACGTCCTCACCACCCGGGGAGGTGTGCTTCACGTCTGAAAGGCCATTCACAGGGAATCTCGAGGTCTGAGTGAACTGGTCGCCTGTGGTGACAACATGCGCGAGAAAGGGAAGGGTTAGCATCAAAGGAGGTGATTCTGGGGAGTGTCCTTGCACACCGAACCACCGACGCGGCCGTCACAGCGTCCTTCACCGAGTATTCACTCGAGGATCACTGCGTCGGCACAGTGTCAGCCAGCACACGCAGAGGCTTCCAGCCGAGACGGCCGCCCTCGCTGCGTGCGTGCGCGTGCACGCGAGGGAGCGCGCCCGAGGCATCGCGTCTCCACCCTGAGGTCGGAGGTCTGCTGTGTGCGGTCCAGGCGCGGAGATGGCCGCCTGCCAGCATGTCCCCAGACGCGGCGACCCACGCGCCCCGTCCTCGCGGCACACCCGCGCCGTCTCCAGAACGGTGGCTCTGGCACGATTCGGCAAACTGCTCCGAGGCATTGCAAGTCCCAAGGTGTCTGCTGCAGGAAAGGGCTCAGGGGTCAACCCCCCCACCCTCGGCCGCCGAGAAAAGGCGGTGGCGCCCCCTGCGGCCCCGCGAGGCGAGATGACACTGGAGCTGACGTCTCCTGTAAGACCAGCGCCTGGGTGCTTGGGTGCCCAAGTGCCCCCCGTGCTCCGGGGTTACACTTCCAAGCACTTCCTGCTCGGGAACCTGCCCGCCCGTGCAATGAGCCGTTTACTCGCGCTCTGGCGGCCTGCCTGGGAGGGGGGAGGGTGTTTTGGGAACCTCGCTGCCTGTGCTGCTTGCTGTCCCTGGGCCTGTCGCCAGAAAAGAACCCTGCAGGGACGATGCTGGAGGGGTTCTCTGCGCCGGGCGGGGTCCCAGGGACGCCAAGCTGCTCGCTGAAGGGGGTGGGCACATTCAGCCCAAGTGAAGTGCAGGGAGGACCGCCTTCGGTCCCTGGAGAAGCGCACAGCCGGGGCGGGCACAGAGTCCCCGCGCCAGGGGGTGAGGGCGGGCCCAGCGTGTCCTGGCGGGGAGGGTCCCGCCCCAGGTAAGGGCTTGGTCAGACGGCACCCCTACCTAGTTCGGGAAGTCACGGCCTTTGAACCCATTTTGGTGCTGATTTGAAGCCAGAAAGCTCATTGCTCAAAAGGATTCAGAACAAAATTTTGGCCAAGCACTCCCTCCGCCTTGAAAATTCGAGGGGACTGGCCTGGGCTGGGCCGCCACCAGCAGGCCACGTGCTCCCTGCCCACGCCCTCCAGGGCCTGGAGGCCTCCCAGTGCTCCGTGCCGAAGCCCTACCGAGTTCTCAGCCTCACGGGTCCCCGTGGCGAGGAGTCTGACTGACCATCCCGGTGACACGCAGAAGAGCAGGAGGAGGAGGAGTCTGAGAAGGCCCCTCCCTCTCTGCGCCGCCCCAATACCCTCGGGAAAACCAGCTCGCAGCCGGAGAGGGAGCAGCTTCCGCACCCCGGTGGAGCCGGCCTCACGCCGCAGCCCCCAGGAGCCGGGGTCACCTGAGGAACTGCCCGGCAGCCCCCAGGAGCCGGGGTCACCTGAGGAACTGCCCGGCCTCAGCGGCGGACCACGGCCCAGTGAGGAGCAGCAGACCCCACACCTTGTCCTTGACCTGACAGCCTGTCTGGGCCAGGAGTCACTGCTCCTCCAGGGAACACCCGACAGACACCCCAGAGATGGGGGGTCTCCCCGCAACAAGCCCGCAGAACTGAGGGAACTTGGCCAGCGAGTGCTGAACGCTGGTACCACCTTCAGAGGCTGACCGCGCGACTGAACTGCAAACCCACGCACTCAGCCCCGGAGGCCCCCGGCAAACCCGGGACTGGACCCTACGGCGCGTGTGCAGGGGCGGAGAACCCAGAGGCAGAGGTGTGCCGACAGGGGCGCCCCCGAGGGAGCTCGGCCCGGGACACCGGATGCAGCTGCCTGGGGGTGGGCCCCCGAGAAGCTGCTGCTCACAGTCAGGCTGTGCGTGGCATTTTCTTATCGTTTTTGAAGACAGTGCAAACACTTCTGTGCCCTGAAGGACGGGAGGAAAGGATTCCCAGTGGTGAACTACTGCACTCGGTTTCCTGTCCCCAGAAGGGGCTGGGAGACGGACATTGCTAACTTTTCTCTTACACATCTCCATCATTTGACTGAATACAGTCCACCTGCATTACTTTTGTAACACTGGAAAGCAAATAAAAGAACAGTACAGTGAAGAGCCAGACCTTTTAAATTGCTCTTACCTTCTGGGGAGAGATCGGTGGTTTTTGTAAAACCAGGGGCGGTGCGTTTGAAGATCTTGGTCCGTTCTCCTCCCACGACCACCTCTGGTCCGAGCAGGGAGACCAGCACGGCGAGGCTGTGCAGGGTGATGGCCACGATGGGGGTGCTGGTGTCCCGCAGGCCCAGCAACACCTGGGGGGGGGGGTGTGAGTGTGGGCAGACCTCGCTGGCTCAGGCGGCCCTCCTCCCTCCGCCGTGCGCTCCGGGCTTCCACGCTGTCTGTGCCCGGGGCCCACCCGTTCCCTCCTCCTGTGACCGCATCAGAGCTGGAACCGGCAGAGCCACACCCCAATGACGGGGCGAAGGCCTGTGACCAGGAGGCACAGAAGCCCGGACGAGCTGGGCAGGAGGGGCGGGGAAAGAATCGGAGGGGTATCTCCGCTGTTGAGGACCCCGTGAGAAGTGAGGGGCGCCCCTAACGTCTGGCTGTGGAAACCGGTGGGGACTGTGCCCAGGAGGCAGGGCGGCTGAGTCCCCGTGTGCTCTCAGACGCCCGGCCCGCCTGCTCACAGAGGGACTGGCTCTGAGCTCCCATGGGGGCTGAAGAGTGCAGGGGCCGGGGGGGGGGGGTGGCCCAGGGCGGGCAGTGCTGGAGGGCAGGGGCCCGGGCCACCCCCTCTGGGTATGGCAGCCCCATGTCCAGCCCCTGGGACTTGAGAGCTGGTAGGTGCCAAACCCGAGTCTCCATTAACCTGGCTAACTAACACCTTTTGCCGGCCTGGAGATTCCCTGAGACCCCACCCACCTCGGCCCAGAGACCCTCTCCAGCAGCCCCTGCAAACACGCAACTGTCCCTGTTCCCACTGCGGGCTTCCTGGGAAACCTCCCAATCCCAAGGTCCAACAAGCCCCGGACGAGCAGCAGCTGTGCCTCTGCTGCGCCGCCCCCAGCCTGACGCAGGCCTGCAGCGCAGCTCCCCTCGGGTGGCCCCCAGGCCCCCAGGCCCGGCACGAGCGGCAGCCAGAGGTGACTTGGAACGCAGCTCCCACTGCGGAACTGCGTGCCCGGCACGAGCGGCCGTGGCCCTGGTGTGCCACACGGCCCTTCCCAGGCAGCTCCTCGCCCTGCACCCGCCACAGCCCACGGCAGACCCCTCTGTAGCTCCCACCAGGCGGCTCCCAGCTAAGAGCCCTCGGCAGTGGCCCTGACCTGCAGTGGAGCCCCTCACAGTGAGACAGGACGGGGAAAGCCAGGAAAAGGCCTCGGCAGCCGGCACAGGAAAACGGAGACAGATGGCTGAACGCACTGGCCGAGCGACTGACAGCCAGGTGCAGGCGGTCCCCAGGGCGGAAGGAAGGCCCGGCAGGGCAAACTTGGGAACACACGGACCTCACCCCCAGGGTGACCTCACCCCCCCTCCCCCCCTGGAAAGGACATCGGGGCCCTACTGGTGGTGCAGCTCCAGGCCCAGAAAAGCAGCAGAACCAGGAGGGCAAGGGCAGGACCAGCTGCAATGATTAAGAGCCCCCTGCTCTGCCGCTGACCAATCAGGGGAGCCTGTGACCCTGAAAGGACACACCTGGGCGACTGACGCAGGTTCTGCTGACACCCTCCCCTGAGATCCGCCCCCCAGGACCCCGCCTGCAGGAGAGGGATGCGGCAGAGAGACCATGGCCGCTGGCGCCAGTCCCCTCCCTCTCTTCTCCCCCACTTCTCTCCCTGCCCCCCCAGGCAGGCACCTCCTGAACCTGGGGGCCCCAGGCCGATTCCCGAACCTGTCCCCAAGCCCCCTTTTCCCCGACCCCCCAGCGAGCTCAGGCAGCCCCGCCTGGGCTCTCCTGGGGCCACCCCTGCTGTGCCGAGCCCTCCCTTGTCTCACTGTCCCAGCTTCAGAGGACAGACCCTCGTGGTCACGTGGACCCATGTTGTGAAACCTTCCTACTCGGGCCAGGCCCCTGTCTGGTGATAAAGAGGCCCCAGAACACACTGAGCTCCACCTGGCCAGCTCCACAAACAGCGCCGTGAAGGCAGACACCGCTGGCGCCGCCCTGCTGGCGACTCCCGGGATGCCACAAAGAAGGGGCCAGGGACATGGGGCAAGAGGAACCACCTGGCCAGAGAGGCAGCTTTCTCCAGGACAGGGTCCCGGCACCGCGATGTTCTTCTGTCGGGCCCTCCCCAAGCCCGGCCAGCCAGCGGCACCAGTCTGAGCCTCTCTGGCCTGTCCAGCACCTCTCGCCTCACCCTGCGGATTCCGAAACCCTGGCCACCCCTCTCGAGCCCTGACCAGCCCTCCTCCTGCGGCTGTTCCTCATCAGCGGCTGGCCTCGGCTCGTGCTGCGGACTCTGTCCAGCCTCCGGTTGCACGACCCCACAGTCCATCACCCACGTTGTACTGTGTGCACCGCCCACACTCAGGTCTCCTCCCGTCAGCATTCGGCCCCCCTTTACCCTCTGTGTCCCCCCCCCCAAACCCCCGTCATCACCGTCAAGCCCCCGAAGGCCCACGGCTGCAAAGCGGCAGCACTGCCCTTGGCGCGTCCCGCTCCTCTCGCTCCGTGGCCCCAACCCCGGCCCTACGTGAGGCACTCACACAGCTGAGCGCCAGGACAACAACGTGATTACAGTGGGCAGAGCCCGAACAGGCGCTTCTCCAGAGAGGGCAGACAGATGGCCAAAGACACTCAAACGGATGCTCTGCGTGATCGTGAAAGCTCGGAGAAACACGAATTAAAACCACAACGAGACCGCAGTGAGGTGCCACCTCACACCTCCTTCCAGAATGGCCATCGTCAACAACTCCACAAACGAGTATTGGCCGGCGAGAACCCGGGGAAAGGGAGGCCCGGGGCGCGGCAGGCGGGATGCAGGCTGGCGCGGCCGCTGTGGGAGCCAGTACGGAGGTTCCTCAGAAAGTCACAAACAGAACTACCGCGTGACCCAGCGATTCCATTCCTGGGTGTTGGTCCAAAGAAATACAGAATCCTAATTCAAAAAGATACGTGCACCCTATGTTCACTGCAGCCTCATTCAAACAGCCAGGACAGGGAAGCGGCCCGGGTGCCACCAGCAGAGGCGTGGGCCAGGCAGCTGTGGTCAGAGGTCTGGACAGCGACGCGCCCAGACAAAGGAAAGTAGAATCTCCACTCGCAGCAACATGGACGCACCCAGAGGGCATTATGCCTTGTGATGGAACGCAGACAAATACCACGTGACTTCGCGTCTGCGTGGAATCGCATGAATGACAGAAACACATAGACACAGAACAGACCCACGGCGGGCGGGGGCGGGGGCCGGGTGGGTAGGGCGTAGGGGCAGGGAATGCAGGGCCACCGTCACGCCCACGTGTGACGTCAGAGGGGGCACTGGGCTTATCGGGGGTTGCTTTTCAAGTTACTGAAACGTGGTCACTGCATTGTACAGTCGCAGTTAATATAATGCTGTTTGTGAACTGTGACTGGAAACAGTTCTTGGAAATACAGCAACAAAACTAGACACATGCACTGGAAATAACATGACCACAAAGGCTTGGGACGTGGATGCTCCCGTCCTTTCTCCCGGCGCTGCAGACGCTGCACAGCGCGGGGGCAGCAGGCTCCGCAGAGCACGGCGGGGCGGGGCGGGGCGGGGCGGGGCTCAGCCCGGAAGGCGGGCGCTTCCCCATCCCCGCCCACTTTCTCAGCTGCACACGCCCACCAGCTGCGACCAGGACAATGCTCATTATCATATCTCATGCGTAGAAGTAGAACACTTGCCCCAAATGGGCCAAAGGCCACGCCTTCCCAGTAAAAACTGGAGTTCAGAGAGCCTGGTTATTCATCTCTGTGGTCTGCTCAAGCTGGGAGCCCTGGGGATGACCCGCCAGTGCAGGGGGGAGACGCGCACAGGGAAGACCAGACCCGTGGCTTCCGGCCCCGCCACCCCTCGGGTCTGCACTGCTACTTCCGGAACCTTCTGCCGGTCACAGGGAACCGACACAGGCCTGGAGCCCTGGAGGGACAGGGCCTAACGAGGCTCTGGGCACTGACCAGGCTGGAAGCGCAGTGGCCGCCACCTCCTCCCCTCTCTGGCTGAGCAGCTTCTTCCCAACCTTCTAGGACCCAGGGCCTGCGCTCAGGCGGCCTCCCCCGGGGAAGTCCGCTCCGGGCCCCAGAGCGGTGCGCGGTGGCACAGACGGGTTTCTCTCCGGTCGTGCCCAAAGGCGCCGAGTAAGGGACTGGCCTTCGGGGTGGAGAAGGAGCCCTGCGCCCGCCCAGCCGCCCCCCTGCAGCCTCGCCGGCCAGCGCCTGCCGGGCCGCCCGCACTGACCTGGGGCAGGACGACGGTGCGCAGCTGCTCTCGCGTGAAGTGCGCGGCGTACGCCTCCAGGTGGGTCAGCAGCACCAGGCGCACGTGCTCCTCGTGCACCTCGAACAGCCGCAGCAGCACGGGCACCACGCGCGCCCGGAACAGGGCCGGCGACAGCAGGCACGGGGTCTCTCCGGGCGCCCCGTCTGCAGGCGGGCAGAGGAAAGAACAAACACGTTTCAGTGCGCGAGCACCACCAGGACCCGCCAACCTGCCCGGAGCGGGACCCCTCCGCGCCCCCCTGAAATCTCAGGCCCCAAACCCAAGGGCAGCTAAGCTCCCCGTGGACCCCAAACTCCTCTCGAGGCTGAGTCATAAAGGCTCTCTACCTTACAGAAGTGTTTCAAAAACACTATCACTCTTCGTGGTCTACAAGAAGCTCACATTTAAGTAGAATCCCGAATCAATAACTTGTTACACATTTGTGCCTAATCAGTGGTCGTTAGGCTGAGGCTGTTGTTGCGATTTTATCTGCAGAACCAGCTGGCCGGCCCCCTCTGCCCCGCAGTTGTGGGGGCGGAAACCTTCACAACAGATGACACCTGCTGTCCCAGAGCCAGGGCACCCGGCACACAGGCGAAGTTTTAAAAGCGTCCCAGGTGACTCAGGCACAACCCCCCCCACCCCGACCCACTGAGTAATCGGCCGGAAGTGCTCTAGAGCAAAGTTCGCGGCTGCAGGGGATGACGTCACAGTAGGGCGTAAGGGAGTTCCGGGCGTACGGTGACCCAGAAGGCTGCGTGGCTGGACCGAGACTGTCTCAGGGCAGGGGTTCTGAAAGCAGGGTTCCCCCCAACTCAGATCCTAGTCCCATGGGTGCCGCGCTCTCTACCCTGGGGAGTTAACCGTCTGCGGTGCTTACAGAGCATCTGCAGTTTCAGAGTCACAGCCTCGTCCCCCACTCAGAACAAAACCGAAGTCCCCAGGAGTGACCTCAGTGCTTTTCTGTCTTTCCGCTGAAGACAGAAAACGAGCAACTGCTTCGGGGTCGGCAGCGCCGGCCTCCGAGAGTCACTGCGAGTGTCCAAGTTCCCCGAAGACGCAGCCTCGCCTCACGGTCTCACGTGCTGTCCGTGTGGCAGCCCCGCGCGCACGGGCACACGCGTGCTGCCCGGCCAAGTGCCGCAGGTCCGCCCTCCAGGACGCCGCCACGGCCACGCCACGGGCTCCGGCACCCAGACGCGAGCCCCCGGTTGCGGGGCCAGCGCACTTCAACCGCACCACGCAGCCATCTCACTCTACTGCCTCGCACGCGAGCCAGCGATCCCAAACTCCACGACACAGAACAGCTCAGAAAACAGTGCACCTTTTTTGGGGCCGAGCAGGTGAGGAAGGAAACTCCGAACCGCCACTGGCTCTGCGAACACCAGCTGGTTGAGCAGCAGGGGCACCAGCCGGGTGGCGACCAGCTCCTCGGGCAGGCAGCTGACTCTGTCCAGCAGAAACCTGCGGGCAGGGAGGAGAGTCCGGGGGCTGGCTGTGGCACAGGCCAGCTCACGCGCTTGTGGCCCGCCTCCCACTCCATCCGAGTGACGATTTGGGAAGGAAGCCGGGAAGGTGAGAAGGCGGGAGGCGGCCAGCAGTTCTCACCACGTTGTCACCCTCAGCACCAGCGGCTGCCTGCGACCCTCCCGCCACAGCCCGGGGCCGGCTGCTCAGTGAAAGGGCGACCCGGCGTAAAAGATGCGGCTACTGGGTTACCCAGACTTCCACAGCGGTCAGAACACAGGCTTTCGTCACTGAACTTACTCAACGGAAACAGCGCCTGTAAAACCGCTCAGGGACGAGGCCGCAGATGTGAGGTGGTAACGGGAACACCCCCGCCGTCCCGCCGCCCTCGGCAGGGACTCGTCCCGGCTCCACCGGGGACAGGCCCCTAGCCACAAACAGGTCCGCCCAGGGCGCGAGGGCCTCTCACTGCAGGCCACCCTCCCAGCCACTGCCCACAGGACCCCGACAGTCCCCAGTGTGCCTGCAGCTCCCACTGCCCCGCCCCTCCCAGCCCCCAGGCTCCACCACCTGGGCCCCACTCCTCCCTGGGCAGTGCTCCTGCCCCTGCTCTGCGCCACCCCGCGCAGAGGAGGTTCCACCCAGGGTCTACCTTCGCGCCTCGCTCTCCCGGGAAGTCCAGCCTCCCGCGCGGTCCGGCCCTTTGTCTCCCACCTCGGCCGCTCCCTCCCCACCGGCCCCTGCAAGGGCGGCTCCCAGGTCCCAGTTTGGGCCACCGTCCTGCCCTTGCCCCTCACTCTCTCTGGGAGGACTCACCGAGTACCGGCAGTGAGCCCTAACAGTCCCCTCCAGCTCATCAGCCCAAGGCCTCTCCTGAGAGTCAACCCCTCCCGCCGAGAGCCTGGGCTCACGGCCTCTGGAGGCCCCTGGCCGCCCAACCCACCCTTTCCCCGGCACGTTCCGTCCTCTGCCCGAAGCCTGACTCATCTGGTGGCAGCCGCCAAGACCGGCCACTGCGTCTGCCGAGTCTTCCTCATCTCCGCGTCTGGACGCCCTCGGGAGGAGCGGGGGTCAGCCTGCTGTCGGGTCTGCATCCGCCACGAGGTGGGCCTGCACCTCACCCCCGGGACAAGGCCCCTCCACCGCCTGCGCCCCTCTGTGGACGGCGTCGGGGCCTGAAGCCCGCGCGCACATGCCCGTCGCCGCCGCGGACAAGGGTGTCCTCCCTTCGCCCGTCCCGGTTTCGGAGTCTGTCCTCCAGCAGGACCCACCGCTGCTCTGTGCACCCTCCGCCTGCCGCTATGCCTGGAGCCGCCCCCCGCCCCGCCCACCGCGTGCTCCCGGGACGCCCGGGCGAGCGCCTCCGCACCTGCCCGTCTCCCTCCGCCTTGGGTCTCCCTCCGCCTTGGGTCTCCCTCCGCCTTCCGTGTCCCTCCGCCTTCCGCTCCCACCCCGCCTCCCTCCCGGAGCGCTGCGCCCAGGGCCCGGCAGGGAGCCCTGCGGAGGGTGTCCGTGAACGTCCGCCACGTGCCACAGGTCTGCCCCGGGTCCACCGAGGGTTTCACGGCCTCAGGCCAACCTACTGAATTTTAAGGCGTTAACTTTCTGAACTTACTTAAAGAACTCAGTTTTTTCCTCTTCACTCTTCAACGTTAAACTTTTCAAGAAATTCACAACTTCTAGAAAATCATTCCTAAACGCCAAAAAGAAAAGAGCAGGCAGGACAGCAGATCAGAGAGGCCGTGCGAACTGCAGCCACGACCCGGGCTGCACTGCGAGCCGCGTCCGCACGGGGCTCCGCCCGCCCACGAGCAGGGTCTGCGGGGACAGAGGGGCCCGCAGCGAGCCCAGTGGTCGGGCTATCACAGAGGCGTGTGAGGGGGATGCATGTGTAAGCACACGTGTGTGTGCACTAAGAACTAGGTTTGTGGTTTTAATAATCACAACCGTCCCAACTGTTCCGCTGTGAGGGGGTGTGGCCACAGGAGGCCCGGGAGCGGCCAGGTTGTCGTCACTAAACGGTGGTTGGTTCTCAGTCTTTTGCAGAAGTAGAAACTGCTGGGCAGTCGCGGGGATCTTCTCACGCTCCAGCCTGTGCTCCCTTTTCCCTCCAGGCCGGGCAGAGGGTGCGGGCGGGGTGGGCACGCAGCCCGGAGCCCCCAGCAGCAGAGCAGCCCCTGGGGGCCGCATCCTGCACTCACCCCCATTTCCTGCTGGCTCGGCAGCAGAGGGGACGCCCACAGGTCTCACCAGACTGGCTCAGCCACCCCCACCGGCTCTCCGGCTGGGCCCTGCCCCCACATGGGGACGCGGGCTGTGGGAGGGGAGGGGTGCCCACGGGTGTTCCCAGCTCTCCTCCGCGCCTGGAGCGCTCTCACACCGGACCAGAGCCTCTAGTTACAGCGGAGGCGGTCTCCTCAGAGACCTGGCGTCAGGTCACTAAAGTGTCCCTGGGAATCACCCAAAGCCGTGGCCACCCCTTGGTTAAGGCTCTACTAAGGCAAAGGTTTGGAACAGATCGCTGCGGGTTTAGTGAGACCACCCACCCCCGGGGCCTGGCCTGGAGGTCACCCCGCCTCCCCGGGGTAACACGAGCTTTCCCTTCGCTCCCGTTTTTCTTGGGCTCTCTGACTGCAAACAAGAAGTTTAAGTTTCAAAACGGACGCGGGGTTGGCTCTGCTAACAAGGCCGTGAACCTGGAGGTAACGGACTGCAGGGCAACAAGGAACCTGGGGCCACAAAACGGAGACCGACCTCCAGAGGCCCAGGAGCAGCGGCTGCCTGTCCCCCCCCCCCCCCCCCAGGCCCACGGCTCGGCTGTCCCCGTGCGTCCCACTCAGCTCAGAAACCAGTCTTCTGCCGGAAGACAGGGAAGCTCACTCCCACCGCCGGCCCCTCACCTGAAGAAGCCGTGGGACAGCAGGGTGCGGAGCGCGGGCCGGCGCTGCGGGGCGGGGTGCAGCAGCGCCGAGTGCAGCGTCTGTCGGAAGCTGCAGAGAGCGTCCGCTGAAACTGAAACCCAGAGCGACAGTTAGTGCCCGAGGCTGCCGCCTGCTCCGGGGCCTCTCTAGCTGCCGGCCGACGAGGGCAAGGCCAACCTGGAAAAGCCCAAACAGACAGAGAGCCCCGGCTGTGGCGAAACAGCTTCCGTCCTGGAGCCACACTCCCGGGCAGGCGCAGGAAGCTGCCCTGACGACCCCACCCACGGAAGGGCCCCCGGCGTGCCTCCCTGCCAGGGCCTTGTTTCCCGGCTGTCACTGCACTCGGCTGGGGACCGGAGAGGCCGCACGGGCAGGCTGTTTGAAAGACGATGTTCTCAACATTCCCAAGGACCGCACAGAACCGCCTCCATTCTAGACACTCGGGGAGCAGGAGCTCCCGCCGGCAGGGGTCTCCATCCGCGGGGGCCTGCCCAGGGCCTCGGGGCTCACTCTGAGCACTGAGGCCGGGACACCTGATGGCTGACCCCTGAGCTGACCCCTGAGCGTGCTGTCACCTCACCATGGCCAGGCCTGGTGGCGCAGACTGGGGCAGGGGGGGCCCAGGCCCGTGGGGGGCCCGGCGGGCTAGTGCCCGGGACACCTAGCGGGCAGCACCAAAGGCCCGAGTGGCTGCAGGACAGCGACACGGGCTGCCGCGGGGCCCCTGGAGGACTCGGAGGGGAGACAGGCCGGGCTCCGAGGGCGACAACTGGGATGAGTAAGCTACCGCACGGTGAAACAACTCAGAAGGGGCAACGACGAAAAGGTCGAGTTCGACCCAGTAACGAGAGACAAGGCGCCCGACGGCCACAGGCGACAGAGTCCCCGGGGGCGCTCGCTCCCTGGCCGCTGCAGGCAGCCGGGGCTCAAGGGTGTCCCCTGCCCCCCCCCCGCCGCCATTTGGGTCTGCCCGCGCGGGTGCCCGGCGGGCGAGTGGGTCCTCACTGCAGGGGGGTCTGCAGGCCCCCCCATCCCCGAGGGACAGGCCGTGGGCGGGCCCCACTTGTCCTGGGACTCGGCGGTCTCACGCCACTCACCCTGCCCACTGAGGGTCTCAAGCAGCCTCTCCGCCAGCTTCCCGAACGCGTAGGCGTCCCGTGCGTGTCCGTGGGCCTCGGGCAGGGCCTCGAACTCCGGAGCCTGGAAGCAGGAGAGGCCGTCAGCGCCGGGCACCCGGCCACAGCCCCCTCACTCCGATGCACCGGCTCTCGCCGTCTGTGGCCACAAAACACGTCCGGCAGCAGCCGAGTGAACGGCGCACCGTCGTCGTCGCCGTCACACGTGTACGTGCCCACGGAACAGAGACAGTCTCACAGGGCAGGGCCAACCACCCCCCCCCCCCACCTACGACGCCCGGTGGGTGATCTTCTGTCTCCTTTTCCCTCCACGTGCTCGTCAGAACCCTTGGACCCACCCGAATCCCCACGTGGCGTCACAAGAACACCAGCGAGCGCACACGGTGCCGACTCGGGCGTGGGGGGGCGGACCGACGCCGCTCCAGGCCCACGTGTCTCCGGCTGGGCGCGGGCTTCCCGCCGGGCACGCTGGCCGGGTCCCGGGGCCGACTGGCGTCACAGCGGCCGTGAGACGCGCTTGCAGGGGGCAGCCGCTCCCGGCTCTCCAGGTAAACCCAGCGTCTCTGCCAGCGGCACCCCCGACGGGGCGTCCCTCACTCCGTGTGGGTCTCGGGGTTCCCCTCACGGTGGGGCTGGCAGGGCCCCCCGCCCCCACCAGGCTCCAGCAAAGGGCGGACACCATGTACCGGGGGGAGGGGGGAAGCACCCGCACTCCCTGTCTCGTCACACTTCCCTTTCGGCTGCAGTGACGCTCCGCGTCCTCTGTGTCAGGGGCAGGTGCCCCCCCCAGACACCCAACGCCGGGAGGGCGGACGGCGTCCCTGCACCCTGGCCCCCGGGACTGCCCTGCCAGTGCCGGTTTCCGTCTCTCCGGCCCCGCCCCTCGCCCCGCCCCCGCCCCCGCCCCCGCCCCCAGGCTGTTCTCCGCATCTGCGCGCCTGCTTCTGCTTCGCTTCTCCCTCGATTCTGTTCTTTAGGTTCACACGACTGAGGTCCCTCCGTCTTTGAACGACGTCCCAGGTGTCTGCTCGACCAAACGTCGGCCAATGTCAAGACAAGGCTCCCTGCGCCGGTGACTCTCAGAAGCCTCCAGAGCCAGAGGAGCTGGGGGGCCTCCCTGACTCAGCACAGGACCGCGGAGGGGGGCAGGGGAGTGGTTTCTCGCCTCCCACCCGGTGGGTCGCACGGACAGTGACGTGCGTCGCCTTACCGTCTCTTCCGGAGGGACGCAGGCCGGGTCTCGGATGGACCGGAGGCTCCTCAGGAACTGGAACAAGGGAGGGAAGGGCTCGCTCTGACGCCTGCGGACCCGGCCTCTGCCCGCGAGTCGCCAGGGCGAGGAGCAACGGAGACGCCGCCAGGGGGCGTCCCACCCACGGCAGCCGCGCACCGCACCGCGGCCCCGGGCAAACGCACGAATTTGAAGCCTCCCTAACACGAGGTAGAGGCGGGCCTGGCGCAGCGCAAGGCTTCAGAGGGAGGTTAAGTGTTGGTCCCCTCCCCTCGCCCCTGCGGCCTGCCGGACAGACCCCTCGCTGCCCAGAGGAACCCGCCTTCCCATGCCGCACGGACACGGACATGGACATGGACCGGCGGAGGGCTCCTCCGGCAGAGGGCCAGGCCACACCGACCTCACCGCATCAGGGCGGTCGCGAGGCCGAAGCCCCCGTCGGCACCACTCTCACCGGAATCAAGGCTGTCTGGAGTGCGGCCCACAGAGAAGCGCACGTGGGGAGCCTGGGGCAGCGCAAGGGGAGTCGGAGGGAGCAACAGCCGACAGTGGGAGGTGGCGGTCAGAGGAGCGTCTCCATGGTGACAAAACACGCCACTTGGGTGGGTGCGCCAGCGAGGGAGGCGTGGGGGCGGGGCAGGGAAGCGCAGGTGAGAACGGGGCGGGGCTTCCGTGGGGCCACAGCGGCGGTGGGGGTGTTTCCTTCTCTTGGAGAGTGAGTGTCCGGGCGATGGGCACCGAGGGGGGAAGGCGGAGCCAGGTGGAGCATGGGGGTCCCGAGTTCTGTCCGACAGAACTGTGCGCAGGGCCCCTTGGCAGCCCTGCCGCCCCGCCCACGTGGGGGTGGGGGGCCCTTAGGATGCACGGGTCCTACTTCCAGGCCTCGGGACAGAATGGGGCAGAACTCGGACTTGGACGCCGTGCAGTGCGAGTTCCTGAGTCCCTAATGCGCGCCCTTCACGCTGCGGGTGGGCGGAGCTCCGGGGATAAATGGGAGGCGCCATCACTTGGGGTCAAGGAGGCGGACGCGCACGTGGCGTTTCAGTGCCCAGCGGGACGTGGCGTCGCCAGCTCCGGAGCAGCGGGAGGGGCTCTGAACTGAAAAGCGGACCCAACTTCCACCTCTCAGCCTCGGGCTCCTCAGCCAGCAAATGAGGACGGCGGGGCGAACGGCCCGCGGAAGGAAGGGTCGGCCCCGCAGGTCCAGGAAGACGAGCACCGACAAAGAGTCGCGTCTCCACAGCTGGGGTCGCCCCAACACCGGAGGGAAAGCCCCCGTGAGCCCCAACACGCGGCTTACCTCGGGGGTGGCCTCGGGCACCCGGCAGACGGTCTCCATCCCCCCCAGCTTCCAGTGCCCGTCCTCGCTCACGAACACCGAGGACACGCAGACGTTGTTGTGCGTGAGGTGGCCCTGGAGGAGAGGGACAGGCAGAGGTCCGCCACCCGGCTTTCAAAGGGCAGGTTTTAGAGAACCAACGCTGACCTCCAAACGAGAGGCCCGGCGAGTCCCCCCGCCGTGGCGCCCTCCACGGAGTCCCACGCTGGGGGGGGGCACACGCTGGGGGAGCTGAAGGCGGGTCACCGCACACCCGGTGCCCGCGGGTCCGGAAGCAGAAGGTCAACGGCCTTTGGAACCTGTCCGTTTGCTTCTAGCCTTTGACCCCGGGGAGGGCACGGCTGACCTGAGAGAAGCACGCCAACTCTTTTCTTAAACATCGTTACATACGTCGGGTGCATGCGTGTCTGTATGTGACTGTTAAGCCATAACGTTCAAGCCAGTCATGACCTTGAACCCACGCACCCGGCATATGTAACAATATTCCAGAAAGTGTCTGTACCTCTCGGGTCAGCGGCGACCTCCGCTGGGTGAGAGACCACGTTCCCCTTGGTTCCCCGGCTTCCCGGGCCACTTTCTCCTCCGTCTCTCCCGCCCACCTCCCGCCGCGAGCCCCGGCCCAGGCCGCGGGAACCTGCCCTAGCAGGCGCCGAACACACTCCGCCCAAACAGGAGGGGACAGGGCGGGGGGTCGACCAGGGAGGGGCCCGAGCAGCCGAAGTGAAAGCGGGAACCGCAGTCGGCGGGCCGAGCGCGAGGGAAGGAGACCAGAACGAGGCAGGAGGCAGGTTGTCCCGTGCGCGCTGGGGCCACTCCCGCGGCGAGTGCGTTCTCAGTGTGCTGCCGGCAGGGCAGAGCGGACGTGTGCCTGTCCCACAGGGAGCACCGCAGGGCGTGCCCGCGTGGAGGGTGGGTGTGGGGCGGCGCGGGAGGCGCGTCCGCACCCGGGCGGAGCAGCAGCCGGTCAGCGCGCGGAGGCCCGCTCGGCCGCACAATGCAGACCCCCGGACCAGCGGCCGAGCCCTGGCCGAGCCGGGACAACCGCCGGCCAGTGCGGGCGAGGGCGCCGGTCCCTCTGCGCCCGCCACGCCGGCCGACCTCTCACGGCGTGTGTGCGTGCCTTCTCCGTCAGAGGCAGCGCCCCCGCAGTGCAGCCTCGTGACTTCTCCCACGTGCACCTCCGACACACGCGTAAGAGAGGATGAATCCAAAGTGATGGTTGGAGGGTTCATCTCCCATTAACAGAAGAATCTTTAAAGACGCACATTCGCTCGAGCCTAATGCCAGCGTCTCCAACCTCTCGCTGGTGGTCTGCCCCTGGGGCGCCACAGCCCCACTGCGGAGCGTGGACCCCTCTGAGCGACAGTGCCTGCCCCCCACCCAGCCTCGGCCCAGCGGGACACGGGAGGGGCCCTCTGTCCCCAAGGGCAAGCGACCGCAGGACCGAGAGCGGCTCTCAGGGCCACCACCTGCTCAAATGGGGAGAGACGTGTACAACCGCCTCCTTCTAACAAACAGCGTTCCTTCAGAATCACACACGGAACGAAACTGCCGGAAAAGAAGGGGGACTTCGGTCCCCAGCAGTGCCGACGCTCACCTCCGTCCCTGTGACGGGCGGCAGCTGTGGCCGCGCTCACTCACACACGCCTGTGCGTGCAGACTCGCACAGACTCGCACCAATGGGGGGCGGCCATGCCACCCAGGGGCAGCCCGGAGAACCGGAACAGAGCCTCTGACCGGCCGCCCCGACCCCTCAGACCACTGCCCCCTCCCCGGGTGGGGCGTGCTTTCCCACGAGGACGGGAACTGTCAGCTTCTGGACGCAGCGCAGTTTACAGCCCCCACCTCCCCGCCCCGCGCCCGCCCCCGCCCCCTCGCCCGGCACTCACTCGGTCGTGCAGGAAGACCAGCGCCAGCAGGACGTCGTAGATGCCGGCGCAGACCTCGGCGGGGGACAGCGTGGCCAAGGCCGCCTCCAGAGGCTGCACCCGCTCGGTGACCAGGTGGATGCCGTCCGCCTCCAGGGAGCAGGACAGGAACCGCAGCAGGCACGGGTGGCGGAGCGTCTTCAGGTGCTGCCCACGCAAACACAGGCGCCCCCCACTGAGTCAGTGCCTCAGGGCCACCCTCCCTCCGGTCCCTGTGCGTCCCGGGAAAGCCAGGACGCGTCAGCCTGCACTCAAGGTCCCTTCCAGGGCCCCCCTTCCCTAGCTGCCCACCGAACTCCCAAGAAGGCAAAGGGGACTCTCTGGCTGGCTGATGTGCCGATACTCCAAGGCCCACCGGCTCCACCAGGGCGGGGAGCTCGGCAGCCGGAGCGCCCGGGGGCTGCTGGGAACTCCGAACCGAGTGCCCAGACCGCCACCGAGAGCACTGCAGAGTGAGTGGAAGCATGCAGACCTCGGAGCGGGGTCAACACTGGGGGGCGGGGGGAGACACCCCCTGGGGGGGGGAGGTTGGAGTCTCCTTCACTGCCGCCCCAGGAAAACGTCCTCACTCGGCTCTCCTGTCCCAGGCCCATGGCTCGCCCCTGGGCCCGCGCTCCTTCCAGAGCTCCTTCCCGACTGGCCATGTCCCCTTGAAGACCACCCGGAGCGGGGCCCCTGTCGGCAGCCCGGAGTCACTGGCGGGTTCTCCGACGGGAGCACAGCCAGCACTCCAGGCCGCCGAGAAATGACGCACAACCAAGGGGCCGCGGCTGGAGAGCAAGAGGCTGCAGGGAGAAACGTGCCTCCTCCCGGGCCGCACACCGGAGACACGGGTGGACACACACCCGTGCCCGCCGCCCCGAGGAGCCTCAGGGAAAGAAAAGCCAGGAGCTGCGGTCCCTGGACTCTGTCATTCACAGGCCACCGTCCCCAGGCTATGAAGATGCTGCCACCACTGCAGCACCCGCGCCAGCCAAGCAGACCCCCCTTGTCCCCGGCAGCCGCGCCCAGGGCCCTTGCCACCCTCTCACTGCGGAGGGGCAGCAGACGAGGGGCGGAGGGGCGCCCCCCTCTGCACTCTGTGACGTCACTGACTGCCCCTGTGGCCCCAGACCGGTCGGGCCAGCGGGGAGACCCCCCCCCCCGCCCCCGCCCCGGAAGACCGGGTTTCCAGAGCCCGAGAGCGAGAACGCTGCGCCGGCCCCGGCCCCTGCATTCGCTCCGTGTTTTCCGCAGCGAAAGCACCGGTGGTGCCGGGGTCGCCCCCACGGACCTTGGCAGCCTTGTTGACCTTGTCCTCGCTCTCCCGCTTGCACACGAAGACGGACGCGACGCGGCCATCCCGCAGCTCGGCGGGGAACACGGCGAGCCCGGAGGGCAGGGTGACGGGCGGCCCCCTCAGTGCGCAGCTCTGCAGGGCGCTGCTCTCTGCGCCCATCCCTTGGGCGGCGGTGGGTGGCCCCTCCCCGCAGCCACGGACCTGCAAGAAAGGGGAGAACACAGTCGGACTTCATATCTCTGAACATGCAGCGAGGCCCCCGCCCCCCCCCCTCACCCCCGGGCACAGCACCCCCTGGTGTGGCCCAGCCAGCCTGCCAGGCCGCCCCGACTGAGGACGCCGGCCGTGGGGAGGCGCGGTCCCAAAGAGGCACCCACAACGCCGCAGGGGAGCCGCTGAGCGCTCCAGAGGACGCACACGGCTGGCCAGCGGGTCCAGTCCTCGCGGCCACCACCCTGGACCCCAGCCAGCCCTGGACAGTCAGGGTGGATGACAGCACCACGGACTCGGGTCCCTCATGTTCCCACAGCCACTGGCACAACCGCCTCGCGGGGGACAGACACCCCCTCAGGGCTGAGACCTCCCCACGCCCGCCGAGCCTTCCGAAGGCCATGACCACACAGACTGCAGAGGGTTCCTGACGACAACGAGAAGCGCGGCAGCGGGCGGGAGCCCAGAGAGACCCGGCAAAGCCGGGCAGGGCTGGGGCAGGGGACAGACAACTCTCGGGGTACCAGGGACGGCACGCGTGGCAAGAGGGCGGCCTCCAGCCCTCCCGTCCTGCTGACACGGGGAAGAGGCACAACTGCACGGTCCCGACGCTGAACAAACACAGGTGCCCACACAACCCCGCACGCGGGAGAGTCTAGAAAATGCAAACTGCTCTCCACAGCACAGAGCCGACGGGGGACGCGGGGCTTCCCGGCGTGGGCCGTCAGCGGGCCGTCAGCGGGCCGGGAGGGGAAAGGTGGCGGAGGGGGAGGAGGGGCCTCCGGGGGTGGGGAGGGCACACCGGCTTCTCCATGAGAACAGTCGGGGGACTGGGGGGCCACAACTGCCGAAACCTGTGAAACCGTCCATCCGATACGTTCAGTTTACTGTGTGTCAGTCCCGCCCCACTCGGGGGCTTTAGAAAGTAGCCCAGATGGTGCGTCTCCCCCGTATCCGCAGGCACGGACTCACGGACTCACGGACTCACGGACGGGCTGAGGGAGCGCTGCTGGGGGGGTCAGGCCAGCCAGGGGTGACTCCCGGGCACACAGTCATGCACGTGCACCTGCCCCGTCCACACCCTGCTAACAGGGACACGACTCTTGCGGTCACCCAGCGCCGCCCAGAGGCCGCAAGCAGGCCGGCACTGGGACACTGAGTGGGCGCAGGACCCAGACCCGCCCCAGACTCACGGCCCGAGGGGCCAGGTCGCGCCCTGGGGCAGAAGGGCCAAGGGCCTCAACACTCAAGTGGAAATGTCCCTGTGGGTTGACTCACGTGTTTTTAAACCCTGTGCAGGTCAAACGATATGCCTACAACTAAGTGGCAGACTAAGTGCCACACTCCCCATGGGCCGCTCACGTTTCTGCTGTGAGATGCGCAGCCTCTGGGTAACCCGTACACGCAGACCCCCTGCTGGCCCTTCTCCTCGCGCGGGCCCAGCACCCCGAGGCACCTCCTGCGCCATCAGAGTGCGCGACGCCGCTCCAGAGGCACACCCCAAATGGGGATGTCCCAGCGCTGCAGGCACCTGCACGCCACAGTCTGAGGACACAGGGACGAGGGCTAGCGCTGGCCACCACGGGGTCGGGCTCTCAAAATCCAAATAAATCCAAGGGCGGTTCTGGGAATGAGGAGGAAGTCAGCTGCATAACAAACCTGCCGGGCTCCTAACCACTTAGCAATGTGCCTCTCTTAAGGACGGAAAAGTAGAATACCATTAAAGAGGCCATGTACCTTGACGTGTGACGTGCACCTTTCTGAAGGGACCACAAAGAAAACTCAAGTGCCTGTGGGATCGTGGAGAAAAGGAACTGCGGTAACTCCCCCATTCCGAGCAGGCGCGGCGCCGGCCCAGCCTGTGACCACCCCAGCCCACCCCACTGCGCAGGGAGGGCCGGGGTCAGCGCTTGGACCTTGCTCTCTTCTCAGACACAGCAAACGGGTCGGCAGCCTCCCCAGTGCCCAAGGGCAGTCTCTGCACACCAGCTGTCTCCCCAGGAACCTGACCGGGAGGTGTTTCTGGCCACCGGCAGGTAAAGGGGTGCCACGGGGCTGGGTCAGGGCCGTGACCGGTCAGAGCTGGGCGGAAGTGGGCACTTGGCAAGCCCAGAGGAAGCCAGGGGGCATCAGGAGCAGAGCGCCGGGCGTCTCCAGGGTGCGTCACCGCCCTCCAGCCCCACCAGCATCCCCCCCGTCCCGGCGACCCCCGTCCACACAGGGGGGCCTCGGGGACACTCGGGGAGCTCGGCGGGGCCGTGTTCTGTGAAACCGACTGCCAGCTCCTAGGCACCAACCTCCGCTCCTCTCTCCACGCCTCCAGTCTGCCAAACCAGTTGGACTGGAGGAATGAGTTTGAGAAGTGCTGCTTGGAAGCGTCTCTCGGAAGCTGGCCCGGCTCTCCTAGCCACAGAGGACGGCGTTCCGAAAAGTCAGCGAGAAACTGCAAACCGGCCTGGCCGAAACTCAGGCTGTTTACTCAGTTTTACTGTGAGCCCCCAGAGCAGGAACGAGGGTCACCAGGATTCGGGGGCAGTGCTCTGGCTGAGCCTTTAGTCATTTCTGAACAGTGGAGGGCTTCCTGGTGGCAACATCCACTGACCTTCGACTTAATACTATGAATTCCCTCACGAGATAAATAACAGCTTAGGGCTATGAAGCCTTTTTAGCGAGGGGTTGAAACTGGTTGTTTTTCTTGGCAGTGTGCATTTCGGGTTGCAGGCCCTATGAGAACATGAGAAAGATGCCGTTTTTGGAAAACGCCCACAGAAAGGCTCTATCCTATGCCCAGGGCAAAATTTATTGGGGGACATAAAAAGATGTGCTGCTGACTGCAATTTGAAAATGTCTTTAAAGCAGAAGTTCCGGATTCTTCCCTTCACATAACTGTATCCTGACAGGCACTAAAACTGTGGCTGTAAGCAGCGCTTTAAGTAACTGGGCTCAACTGGACTCATTGAAATGTAAGACCAGTCAACGGTAGCACTTGGATTTCCAAAACGCTCTTCCTTATTCTGCGGCGCGCAGGGGAAAACCTGCAACCCTGTGGCTTTGGAACGAGCCACTGGAAGGTGGAAGGGGGACCCTGATGTGGGCTGCAAGAGCAGGTGGACTGCAGGCCCTTGGTCTCCAGCCAAAAGTGAACCGTTCCAGAGTTTCTGACTTGCACACGGTCGTGTGTTTAGAGATGTGTTAGCCCATGGCCCTCCATCTCTTGGCTTTCTTGGGCAGCACCCCAACTTTCTGGGCCTAGTCTGGGTCACTGGGCAACTCCCTGAACTGAGAACCCCAGGTTCTCAGGGAACGAACAGCTCTCCTGCTCGGTCCACAGCAATGAGCCTCTGCGATCTTGGTCCCGATTGTGGTTCCGGTTCCCACAGGTTCCCGCAGCTCCGAGGCGCCCAAGGCGAGGACTGTGCGTTCAAAGGTCGCCTGGAAGGCCTGGTATCTCATTATCTGGTGATGACGCTCCTTGGGGTCCTTTGCTTTGGTTTGTTTCAGGTGTATGTCCCCGCATGGAGCTCGGTCCGGCCGTGCCAGGGGACCACGACACATCATGGACCCAACAGAGTCTGACTTCAGCCGAGAGAGGGGCGCGACCTGGGGCCGGCTGCACGCGAGAGCCAAGACCCGCGGTGACAGGGTTGCAGCGTTCAGGGCGCTCCCGCGTTCACGCGGTTTCCTACAGGTGTTCCACCTTTATTCTAAATACAAAGCAAGTCGCAGACAGGCCAGCAGCTAGCTGCTCTTCCGGAGCCGGCCCGGGTCTCGCATCCAGGATGAAGGCGGCGTTCCGGGAGGCACGACACCGGGGTCCCCCGGCTCAGGCGACACCGCCCACCCCGTCCGGCCAGGGGCCACAGACCACGGGGTCCTGCGGCAGCTGCTCAGGAGCCCTCGGGGCGGACGGGGGTGGGGCGGCGGTGTCGCCGGGCTGCCCCTCACCTGCCGCACCTGACTGCGAGGCCGGTTTCCGCGGCTTCCTCCCAGCGTCCGGCCGCCAGCGCCGCCCGGGGCTAGGCCCTCCGACAGCCCCGCGGAGAGGGCGCCCCGCCGGCCACGGGGGGCTGTGCGCGGCGGCGGCCCGGGCTCAACCTGCGGCGACGCCGCGCCGAGCTCGCCCCCCGAGCGCGGACCCGCGAGCCGGGCGCGCGCCCACCGCCCGCTCCCCGCTCCTCCCCGCGCCCGGGCCGCACGGACGGGGACGCGGCGTCCTGTTACCTGCCGGAGGGCGGCGGGAGGCGGCCGAGGGTCTTGGCTCCGGTCCCCTCCTCGGTCCCTGTTGACACCAACACCCCTCGCCTCCCCCGTGAGGGTCCGGCCACTACACCCACAGTCTTCGGGGGTACGGTCCCTCCGCCACCATAGAGACGGGTCCGGAAGCCGGACAGAATGCCAGCCTGCGGCCCTCCGAAGCCGCCAGCGAGGCGCACGCACCCGGAACCGAGCTAGAGCGGCCGCCCGGGGGACGCTCCGGCCGGGGCCATCTTGAGTGCGGGCGCCGGTGCCCACCCTGCGGCCAGCCACCGCTCGCAGCGGCCTGGCGGCCTATGAGGAGGTCCCCTCTTTCCCCGTCCCAGCGGGACGTGCAGCCTGCTCTGGACCGTAACGTTCAGGCTGTCAACCCCGGGTTTTCATTCGATTTCCGCCCGAATCCAAAATGGCCTCCGGCCGCGTCTGACAAACAGCAAAGGGGCGGGGCGGAGGGAAGGCGTGTGGCCTTAGGACTTTCAGGACAGTGACGTCGCTCTCTCCGCAGCGCTGATTGGCTGAGCCGCGTGGTCCACAGTCGTGCGTTCCGCGGTGCCCGAGCCCTGGAGAAGGAAAGTCTAAAGTTACATTTGTTTCAGCAAGGAGTCGAACCTGGCACTATAGGACCCGTGACTTACATTAATGACGGTTACTTAGTAGGCTGCTGTGAGAGTAAAGTGAACGTACGGAATGGCTTTAAAGCTGCGTGACTCGAAGTAAACACAATGTATTTTCCTTGTCTCCTGCGTGGTGGCGGTCGCCATCGCTCCTACTCGGTGCGTGTACACCCTCACAGGTGACAGCTGACCCGAATCCTTCGGTCATCCAAAACTTTTAGGTTCTTTATGGCCGATGGCAGCAGCTGAAACCTTAAGATGGATAAGGGAGCCCACAGTGTCTTCTCCAGGTTAAACGAAAGCAACTAGCAGACCCAATGGTGTCCCTCCTTCAGAAATGTATCAAATACTTGCTAGGACGCAGACGCACACAGCGTTAGCTCTGTGCTAACAGCCTGTTGACAGCCGCGCTCTCTGTGCTGACGCTGCTGTGCCCCCCAGAAATTCGGAAACGGAATTCGGGCCACATGAGTAATTTTAAATTTTCTGCTAGCCACAGAATGAAGGCAGTTTGAACATTGCTTTAACACAGTAGATCCAGAAGATGTCATTTACATATGAACTCAATATAAAAAATATTACTGAGATATTTTGGTACAGCCTTTGAAATCAGATGTTTAATTTCTGCAGTTTGGACTGGCCATATTTTCATGTTGGAGAGAGCGGTTTCAGGAGGTCTAACCACCGCCTTGCACTAGGAGTGGAGCAGCAGAGGTGCCACTGCCCTGTGCTGGATTCTGTTGTCACTGTGGTCCCCTCAGCATCAGCCTCTGGCAACCGGAAATCTCTCAGGCCAGTGACAGGGCCAGGACTACTAGGGACGAAGTCTTGGGTGGCATCTCCAGAGGTGGATGTCTCCCAGAATGTTTCGACGCTGTTTATTCAGGAGAGCATTTTCTAAACTATTTTAGCCAAATCACCTACTTGAATTCTTTGTAGACTTCATTTCTACTGTACATCCTGATAATAAACTTATTTTTTGCCAATAAAAACACTTTTGTGACACTACACTGTTAGCAAAACCTCTGGTGCGATTAGAGATCAAGGTGGTTCGAGTACTCAGAGCTCCATGTCTGGAGAGTGGCCTTTCTGGAGCGTGTGTTCCTGACTCCCCAAGGCTGGCTGCCTCAAGGGCATACCTTGGACCATGGGGGTGTCCAACCTGCAGCCCAGGATGGCTGTGAATGCGGCCTGCAAAAAATGGTAAAGTTACTTAAAACATGATGCGATTTTTTTTTTGTAATTACGTGTCATGATGTATTATGTGTGGCCCAAGGCAGCGGCATGGCCCAGAGACGCTGAACAGTTGGACACCCTGCCTTGGCCCATTCAGCCCACAGAGCGCTGCGAGCTGTCTCTGCTGGAGGAATTCAAGGTGAACCACAGGCACCATGACACCTGTGTTGTTGTGAGAAATACTGCCCGGCTGTGCAGACGCTACACACATGTTCTAGAACGTGTAGCCCCACGTCACAGACTACATTTAGTCCGCAGGTATGTCACACCCACCCTTTCTGTCCCAGGCACCCTGCTGGCCACCGGGAAATGAGGGAACAGTCACTGCAGAACAGTGCGTTGTCCGAGGGACCCGAGGAAAGTCTTGTTTAAGTGAAGGAGTTGAAGATGTGCTAGCAGCTCTGTGCTAGTGACGTCACTTTGGTTTGCCAAGGCGCGCGGCCCCACCACCAACAGGTAAGTGTCACACTGCCGCGTGTGAGTCTGGATTTGAGCCGGACGGCTCCGCCCTCTGCCTGCCACGCGCTCCTGTGCCTCAGCGAGGGCTCGCTGGGTGCCGGCCTCTGCTCCAGAGACTCGGGAGACCCCGGCAAGGGGAACAATTCCCTGCCCTGAGCGGACCTTGCACCGGAGGGGGCAGAGGTGCAAGGGGAAAGAGAAACAATAAGCATAGCAATGGACAAAGATAACTTCAGATCATTGTTGCTTCTAAGAAAAAATAAAACACAGTAATGTGGTAAGAGGAGCTAACACGTGTTGAGTGCTTACTATGTGCTAGGTACTTCATATGATGTTCTTCCTCAATCACTTTTAATGGTGTGTGGGAAGTCAAGCTATACAATGTTTGCTTTGTCTTTCTATTAGTGTCACTTATTGTGGACATTATGTGTGTTACACCTTGTACAGATGACAGATAATAAGGCAAGACACCTAGTGCTGAGGCTCCGGGTCGGAAGCAGGGAGGTAGGCTCTGTCACTGGCCGAACAGACAAGCTTGGGCAAACCATTCCGTCTCTCCTGGCCGTCGGGTTTTCCACGGAACTAGTCTGACAGGGTTGCTCCCCCGGCCATTGCCAGCTTTAATATTCCATGGTTAAAACAGAAACTAAGACAGCCCTAGCCAGTGTGGCTCAGTTGGTTGGGCCTTGTCCTGCCAACCGAAAGGTCACAGGTTCGATTCCTGGTCAGGGCACGTGCCTGGGTTGTGGGCTCAGTCCGCAGTCAGGGAGTGTGCAAGAGGCAACTGATTGACGTTTCTCTCTCACATTGATGTCTCTCTCGCTCGCTTTCTCGCTCCCTTCCCCCGCCCTAGAATCAATAAAATTCAACAACAACAAGCTGACAAACGTACGTTCTTAGAAGGACCAGGTGGGCTGTAAGCTCGAAGACACCAGCCACATCTCACGCTCACATGCTCTCTCAGGGGCATCGCATGTTTCCTTATCCCCGGGAGGGGGTTTGGGAAATCTGCTGATTGTATTTAAGGCTTTTATGTGATTGGTTTCTCAAACAGGTAGATGGACTGAGTTATTTCCAAGGCTCTTTCCACTCCACGATTCTCTTGGTAAAATACAAAGCAAGCTGACAGTGCAGAGGGCCAGTGAGGCCCGTGGCCACGGGTCCGTGTGGTCTGGGCCCCACGCATCCCCTTCAGGGCCCCACAGCCTCTTCCACGGCGAGTGCTCGGGGCGGTGTCCCTAGATCGCGGCTATTTTCTTTGCTTGAAGGAAATTTTCAGCTTTATAACATTGAATTATTTTCCACACTCACTATTAATGATGTCTTTCCATTTCTTACTAACTAAAATCTATCTTTTAATAAGTATCTTAGTAAGCAAAACACTGTTCTTTAGTTTTCCTCAATGAGACTTATAATTAGTTTTCCAGTACTTTAGATTTCACAAATAATAAAATGTAAAAGCCCAAAACTTGTCTAGTGTCATAGACTGATAGATGCCCAGGTCTTCTACATTAAAGTCAGGAAGACAAGGACGCGAGAGGCTGGAGGGCTGCGCTCGCACGTAACAGCTGTCGGCACATGTCCCACTGTTCACGGAGACCCCTCGGTGACAGCTTTGGGGGCAGCCGTTTAGGCTCGTGCGTGGACGAGAGATGCGGCGTCACGCATGCATTTCCAGGGCAGCACGTCTCGCGTGAAATACTCGGGTTCACAAGGGGGCAGGGGAAATGAAGTTCTCGCGCACCTACATCATCGGCACGTCACTCCCAGCGAAACACATGAAATAGGGACACGCGACCTTCTCTCATTCATTTGTACTTTATGCTTCTTTTTAATGGAAATTAAATTAGTTACCTAATATACATAATGCAGTGTTTGTTTTCCAGTCTAGCTGCTTTTCGGGGTCCGCTTGGAGTCTCGGGGGGAGCGCTCTCCAGCACCCCGAGGCGGTTTGGTGCGGGAGCGGGGGGCAAGCACCCGCTGCCCGTGGCACGAGCCCAGGGGGTGGAGTCAGTCTGCAGCTGACACCACGGAAAAATGAAAGAAACACAGACCCACACTAGCGTCAACATGCATTATTAGCCCCCCATTCAAAGCCAACCCAACCCCCACAGGTTTCCTCTAAGCTACGCGTGCGCACGGAGGGGAAGGCCTTCACCGAGGCCCGTAGGCGTAGTAATAAGGGTCATCTGGGCGGAAGCCGTACGCCGTGGCCGGGCGTCCCAGCAGGCCCACCGACTGGCCGAAGCCATCCATTCCAAGGCTAGAAAGAGAGAGAGAAAAAAAAAGTAAGTTACATTTTTCATCAGACACCCACAATGCCTGGAACTTTACACCTTCAAGATTCTCTTCCCAGCAGTGAAAGTGATTTATGTAGATATTATTAATCCTTTTAAAAATTTAATATAGTCACAAAACGTGTATAATAAACATTCACGTCTAAGAACGTGCGTTAGAAGTGAGGGGAGCCACTGTCGTCGGGCAGCCGTCACGACAGGAGGAGGACAGATCGGAACGCTTCCGGTGGGTCGGGCTCACACGGGCTTTTGCGCCAGAAGGTGGAGAGATTTTACCCGCTGGCAGCGGTGGGGCAGACGATGCCAGGGGACGATAAAGCAGTGGAAATCGAGTTTCGCTGTTGATAGGGAGCTCTCTTTCACGTGAAGACGCAGGACCGAGCCGCTCTTATTAGTAAGGCCGTGCAGTTTGAGGCCCAAACCGCGCCGTAAGCTCGGGAGCACAGGGAGAAGACGGGAAATGTTACAGAATGTCAGAGTTAGCCCGATTTGATCTGCAACCCTCTGACTCCTCAGTTCAAAAAATTACTCCATAGCACATGTTTCTTTTGAGTAACAGCAAGTTAATCATAAATTTGGGTTCCATCTGTCCTATGGAAGTAACAGAAGCCCGAAGAGAACCTTTAGTTATAAAGAGAATGTGACAGTGGACGACCTTTGATTATTCCTTTTAAAAAATGATTCTTTCCTCCACTAACAAGTCATCTGGAAGAGAATCTGCTCGGCAAGCACGTTTTAGGGGTCGGAGAAGCCCGACGCCTCGCGGACGGACGCGGCGGCCCCGGCATGCTCA